AAATTGGAAAATCTAAAATTTAGAAATCGAGAAATTGAACAATCGTATAATTGAAAAATCGAAACATGGAAAAACTGGAAAATCGAAAAATTAAAAAAAATGGAAAATCAGAAATTTAATGAATTCCGAAAATTGAAAAACTGCAATATGCATAGAAGAACTGAAAACTCCAGAAATCGAAAAATCTAGAATTTTAAAAATTGAAAAATTAAAATATCGAAAAGTTGAAAAATTGCAAAATCGTATTAGTGAAACATCGGACAATTGAGAAATCGAAAAATAAAAAGATGGAAAAATTGATAATGTCAAAAATTAAAATACTGAAAAATTGAAACATCAAAAGTTGAAAAATCGAAAAACCGAAAAGCCGAAAAAACTCAGTAATGTATTTATAAACCACAAGTTCAGGATTATGCTACTAAAAAATTGATAACGTCATCTCAAAATTTTGCTGAATAAATTCTACTAAAAATGTGCAAAATATGATGAGTTTTTACTTGTAATTTATCATTGCATTCATATTTTTGACGTGACAACGTCTTATAAATCGATGGAGCCGGCTGCACGCACGAAAAAGCATGACTCATGCGGCGTTACCTCGCTCTGGCGCGTTCCATGTAAGGCTTGAAGTGCAAGCGAGAACGCGGAACGAGCGACAAAGAGGCACAATCGGCCTTCGCGTTCGGCAGCGTTCGCCATCCGTCTCTCTCCTACTTGAGTGAGCGATGCGTCTGCGTGGACAGCTGCTATATTATAGTACATTCACATGTTTTGGTCGAGTATCAAGTGCAGTGAAAAGTGAATGTAGTGTCAATTTTTTCAAGACACATTAAACTAAAAAAATTGACATAATTGTATTTATGCGTATAAATAAATCTAACTTGATCAATTTCATTGTGATTTCTAATTACCTCCTTCTCTATATACATACAAATCTATTAAACAAATGAAATTAAAATTTTCTTTTGAAAAATGCTACCAATCCATCAGTATTTTCTTAAGACGATGTCACGTTCAACTATCGTCAGTAAACCGACTTTACAGCAACCGATTTTTTTTTTTTAGATTTACTTATATACCTAGGTGGCTCAAAACAATTAATGAATGAGTCAATTTATTCTATTGATTAAATCAGTCTCGACTCACTCCATTTTCCCAGAAATTTTTGGAATACTGTTATTTTTAGTCTAATCCACATTGATTTACGTGTCCTTGCAAAATGTTGATGATTTCATCACAAAATTGTGTACCTAAAGTTTTTTAACTCGAAAATGCTGGATATGTTTCATTGTATTTTAGGTGCGAGGGAAGTTCTGTCGAAACAACTTTCCACCAATTTTTTTTGCTGTTATATTTGAACATAAACAGTTTATTTTATATATTTTTAAAACATTATAAAGAAAATAAAAAGTTGTGTTAGACTGAACCTTGTGGGTTTCTCAATCTATTTTCCGCAGCATTTTAAACTTTCAACTCAATTTCTTTCAAAATACATACAAATGGATTTCGATGGTTATTTCCCTGTACTCTTCATCTGAAAATAAATAAGCTTATCTGGTGTTGTTTACCGATTTGCATTTTATGACGGACTCCCTACAGTGACCATAATCTCTCCTCTCTTGGGTGGCTACCTGCCGTGGATCGGTACTTTGGGTTGCATAGTTACAAAAAATAATTCTTCTCACTGAAACCGATTTTGCGGGCAACGACTGGGGACCCTTAAGGGTCCTTTGCAGTCAGAAAATATTTGAGTTTCAAGAAAGTTAGACAACCCACTTTACACAGATCTGACAACTGTCGGTCAGGTAATTAGAAGGACCAGAGTAGTAAAACTGTCAGACCCGAAAATGATTTATTGCTGTCATTGTATCCAGGGAACTAATTTAAATATGTTTCTGTGCAAAAAGTGGTGCGGAAAATCGTTTCTTTATTTGGTGGTAACTAAATAATCGAAGTTCTCCAAAATCTCTGTTATAAATTTTGAAATAATAACATAAGTAATTTATTTCTAAATAAATTAAATTTTGGTAAGGATTTTTTTTTACTTTATTCTAATAGGCATCTTGCACGTTTTTGAGTAAAGCCAGAAAATGATTCAGCAGAACTCATAAAACAAGGGTATTGTTGTAAAAAGTGCATGGGATTAATATTTAAATCAGGCGCACTTTTGGGCGTGACGTCATAAGCCATACATTGTTGCCAAGTCGAAGATGTTTCCGTATTAATATAGGGACTTTTTATGGTCGGCTGTACTGTCAAGTGCGGCTCTGCCAAAAAACAGCGTTGAACAAATAGCGCGCGATTAAAAAACTGCGACAAAACAGAGCCGAGACAAAAAAGCGCTGTAAAAAATGGCGTAGGACAATATCATTTAGAGTCTAAAGGGCGCTAAGACAAATTAGCACGCGACAGTTACCTATTAATTGTATTATGTCTTATTACTATTAGGCATATAAAACACGTCATAACAGGGTAAACAAACGAAAATGATGTCCTAATGTGAATATTAATATGAATATTGACGTAAATGTTAAAAATTACCTTTACTAGCCCAATAAGACGTCTCAAAACGGTAATACTATAGCCTCATAATAGATCGGTTATGAATAAACCACACAAAATCAACTCAACTTTAATTCAGAACTAGAAACAGACTATTCAAAAATTAAACAAACAATAAACGATTAAAGCGATAAGTTTAACGCCACAGATTTCAAATAGTTTTCCACATTTGCAAATGAGTACTCCGAAACCAATACTTTCAACAGCTTTCTCAGCTGAACATATATATTTACAGTTGGCCGATTCCCGATCTGTACCTCGCCATATGCATTTCTGTAGCACTTTGTTTCCTGTCTAATAAGCTTATAGATTTGAGGGTGTTGGCAATCCAAAGAGTGTTTGAAAGAGTCGTGCCAAGCTTCTAACTAGTTGTTCGTTCTTGGTAGGTCCGTTAACATTCGATCAAACATATTCCAGATGTTGATATCGTACCTAGGCCTCAAATTATGCATTCGTTTTCCGATGTAAGTTTTCTCCCAATATTCTACTAAAAGTAGCAGTTCATGAGGAAAATTTTCATCGATAATCTCCAACGCAGACTACACGTCCCTTTCAGGTACAAATGCGATGGCAAGCAACATCTTACATCCTATTCTGACTTCGCTGTTGTTCCGTTAGATGGGTTATGGCTGAATTTTTCGCCATGATCTTTTTTGGTGTATACAAAAAAATTACAAATATCTCGCTGAGTTATTCGCAGCTGACCCTGTATCTGATACATATAGGGATGTTTTAATTTCAATTCTATAATGCCTTTTTTGTTTATGAATAAATACAGAATTACTTTTTTTTCTATTCCTTCTCGAACAGTAATCTCGCGTGCTGCGTATGGGCATTTTACTTCAAGTAGTTCTGTATCTCCTATCAAGCCGTCTGGTGACGCAGCGAGGTATGGATATTCATTGTCGACAAAAGAACGGTTCGTTCATATGTTCTTCCATATTCCAATGATTTGGTGGTCAAGCCAGACGAATATAGGATTGCTTTTACTGCATTGGCTGTGGATGTCAATTTCCTCATTCGGCACACTTTGCCAAAATTACTAGCGGTAAGTCGCACAGACTTTTCTTTGTACCAAATAGGACTGAGAGCTTGGTTTCGTGTTTTTCTTTCAATTTCTTCAACATTACAATTTTGAAATTGGTTTTTTATAAAATCTCTTTTGAGTTTTTCGAGATCTTCTACATTTTGATCTTCGACAAAATCAACATCGTCGCCCCCGTAATCTTTGTCGCAATCCATTACTGTTTTTTTTATATTTTGCTTTATTTGTTTTTTTCTTTTTTTTTTTTTAGAACGATTAGTCTAAAATTGTTGGGTATATTCAGCTTTGATATTATTTTCTCTTTGCAAAGAAAGTACAAATGGATACTTATTAAAATTTAGAGCAGCCACATAGCCACCAGAAAGAGAAAAATTTATTCTCTCTATTAATAGCATTTGCTTGCTTGTGTTCATAGGGCCAATTATTTTAAAATAAATTCTACTTACTGTCGTTTTTTCCAACGTTGCTTTGCCAAAGCCGTCTTACTTTTTCTTCGAACACCACAAGTTTTGTGCACTTTGCTATGAATTCCCATTTTTTTAACAGAAGTAAAACAATCAAACTATTTCAAATATCAGTAAAATCTAAACACTCTCGCCAGAACGACTCTGATAAACTAATGCAAATTTTGTTCATTTACAATTTTACTAGTACGGTCAGGGCACTTAGATCAGGTAAAATTTTCCTTTTTAGGGAGAACCCAAAATTCGTCCATTGTCTCCGGGTATTTGCACCCTCATAAATCATATTGCACTACTGCCGTGAGTAAAATTTTTGCAATGTTGGTTGCCTACTTTTGTAATTAAAAAAATGTTAATTACCGGTTCTTCATTGACAAAAATATAAAATTAATTTATCACCTGTGTAGATTTTACTCATATAACCAAATGTGTGAAAGCTGAATTCTGAAATATTACTATTTTTACTGACAGCCCGAAAAATCGATTTTACATTTTTTCCAATTTAAAGAAAAATCATGTTTGTTGGCAAAAAATAATTTAACTCCTGCTTAGAGCTTTACAAGTTGCGTTAAATGTGTTAATTTCGCTTTTTCATATTTAAAAATAAAGCCGTAATCTCACATGAAAATTTATATAGAAACATAGAATACGCACATCCACTGCAGAGGAGCCTTAAGTACAATTTGTATTTTTCTTGTAGACACCACAGTGTGGAATCCGTGGAAGATAAAATCCGCTCTGCAACCTTCATTGCATTCCTGCATACACAAAATTGTCCAGAAATTTTGAAGATGAGTGAGAAAAAAACCGGTGAACGATTTTCATTATTTGTTTGTATTTTGGGTGATGTAACCTCATTCTTCTCAATTTAAATGCGGACTTCTTTTTTATTTTTTTGTCGACAACCCAAATACTTAACGTAACAATTACCGTTTTTATTTTTGCTAGTTTTATTGGTAACAAACGACATTCTTTGACAGAGCATTTTATATCATTCCAACTGATTTCAGCCGAAGATATCAAAAACAGGCACATTCTCCAAAATCTTTTCCAAAAGCTTCTTCATAACCAGGTCTAAGATCACCAAATAATTCGATGACATTTTCTTTTAGTAAATTTAGCATACGATTAGCTAATTCTTCATCACCATCAAACAAATTTTGAAGATTAAAGTCAGTGTCTCTGGGCTGCATGCCCAGTTGTTGGTGAAGGATATTAAAATATTGTTTACCCTTCTTTTCGTATTCTCCTAATTTAAAAGTAAGCCCAAGGTGATTGTCGCCTGGAATTATTTTCGGTTAGTTGCTGCTTAGAAAAAATATTAAACTTACGGAAAATAACTCATCCCGTTCCGTTTCCATAAATAGACACCAGCATAACTTGCCCGTGTACCTCGTAATTGAAGTCCAGTCGAAAATTTGGGACGACGCAGTTCAAGTTTAGTGTTTTATCGTTATAATTAAAGCTGTCAAAAATGAATAGTAGTAACTGTGACTAACACAAAGCTACCAACTCACTCGGCTTTGGAACAAGAAGTTTCATTAAAACCCGACACTCTCAGATTTTGATAACTGTGTTTAGCAGTAACATACTTAGAACCGGAGTCTATATAGTCAAGGATGGTATTACTAAAGGATGTAGACTTACTAAACCTAGTGCTTTTATGGAACGATACATCTGCCTTATTGCACTTTCGACAGCTTTCGGCAAACACAGATCGGAGGAAGTTTCACGTTACATTTTATAAAACCCTGGAATTTTAAAGTTTTTCAGGATGACATTAATTGTGATCATACAAGTCTTACGCAATTTGGCCTCGAAACTAACGACTATCAAGGACGCGTAGTGTTACTACAAAAAGCTTCATTTTGTTCTGTTAGAAGAGTGATTTGAAAAATTATTTGCGACATATATATACATTCACCGATAAACCAGTTATTATTAATTATTATAGGAGCTATTTTGCATAACGTTGTCGCCTACATCTAGTTGTTTACCTTTACGTAAGAGGATTTTGGTTCGATGTGTATCAATTACAGTCTTTTTTTATTTTATTTTCTGCATAGTTTGAACCATTTTGTCTGTTTCACCGTTACTGGTGGAAAGAGATATCTTTTGCTGACAGAAACAATAACTTTGCAGTTTTTATTATCTTTTAACAGATTGTTAACCAAAGATATTTTTTTATTTTATTTTATTTATTTTTATTGTTACTGATTTATCTGATGTAGATTAAATTAATTTGTACCCCTTCTGGGAATATTATTAAGCCTGTAAGGCAAATAATAAATTAATACTATAGCAAAAATTCAAGAACCATGGAACGCTACGGTGTAAAATATATATTTTTTTTTTCATAGGTTGGAACATCAACTGTGGCGAAAATTTTATCAACAGGGGACTATATTTAAAAACATCACTATCTGGAAAGCGATATTCTAGGGAACAGTTGGAATTTAAGGGAGGGCGAACCACATTATACAAAATTCTTAAGTCAATGGGTTATAAGCACAGGGAAGTAGATGGTCGCAAAATTCTATGTGAACAAAAACATGTCGTTGCAGGCAAAATTACTTTTTTTGACAACATATTTACAATTTCTAAATTCTTGTGAAAATTTGACTTTCGTGTATTTGGATGAAACATGGATCTATCAAAATGGTTCGTCCATTCGTCGCTGGGTGCACGATACTGATCTAAAAAGCAATCCCACCAAAATTAAAAGTGAAGGATCAAGGTTCCACGCGGGTTGTTCAACTGGGTTTTTGGATGGTTGTAACAATTTTTTAAATTAAAAAAATAACGATAGAGACTATCATAAAACGATGGACGGGACAATTTTTCAAAATTGGGTGGTTAATCAGCTCATTCCTGCTTTGGCAAAGTTGAACCAAAAATGTATGGTGGTTTTAGACAATGCACCGTATCATTCGGTTCAGTTGTATAAACCACCCACTTTTTCTAGTAAAAAATGTGAAATGCAGGAATGGATCTTTAAACATAGTGCTGAATTTGACGAAAAATTTTCGAAGAAACAGTTGTGGGATTTAATTAAACCCTTCAGAAACGATAGAAAAAAAAGATATTTGGTAGACGAGACATTAAGAAAAAGTAGCCATGAAGTTCTTAGATTACCTCCATACCATTGTCAATATAATCCAATTGAAATGGCGTGGGGATTTTGTAAGAACTATTACAACAAGCATATAAATTCTCAACCTTCATTAAAAAATAGGGTGGAGAATTTATGACTTGAGGCGCTTTCTAAATGTACTTCAACCATGTGGCAAAATTTTTGTAAACATTGTGAAAAACTTATTTTGGCAGATTGGGAAAAAAATATGGGAAATCTTTCGTACGAATCTATACCTCTTTTCATTATTTCGCTAGGTGAATCTGATTCAGAATCTGCATTTGAAAACGACGGTGATGATACACATTTTCATAGCGAAATAATGGTAATGGAGTGAATTGTAGCTTGTCGGGGGGTAATATTTTTACGCATCTTTCGTTCTAAATTTACCAAGGTAGTATGTGAAACACTACTTGACGTACAACAAAATAAGTAAAATTTTAGTTAGATCATCCACGTTGTTACTTTAACCAAACTTTGAGCATTTTCATTTTTTTTTGTAACTCTTCATGGACTGGCGAAGGCATATAGTAACGTTCTTATTAATAAGCGTTTGGAAGTACTTAGTAAAAGCAAATAAAGAGCACTTACGTAAGCATTAGTAATAGCTATATAGATAATCATTCAATTTATGGCCGGAAAAATGTTTCAGAAGAGCTAAACCCATCAAAGCACTAGGGCAAGGTTGTTGTCTTTTACCAACTCTTTTAGTAATCTTAGAAAAGTGAAAAGAAAAGTTGGAAAATATGGAAATAGGCTGTTCACAAAGGTCGAAGTTTCCATTTCTAAGAGTGGGCAAGCAGAACGAACTGATGATTGAGGATTAAAGATGAGATGCTAAATGTGGCATGCGACAATAGTCATACGTAGAACCCCCATTCATATAAAAACAATGTTTAAGAGAAATTTTAGTGTCTGTTCCTTACATACGAAATAAACACTTACAAAAAGCCGAATAACTGTTTTAAATAGCGTAAAGTTTTATGTTTTCTAAGAAATGGATACCGTTAACTTGGTCATTGCTACTGAAAACTGAACGTATCGGCAACAATGTTTGTATTTCTGGCATATTTTTTAACCTTTAATTTCATAAAACATAACCAAACGAAAAAAGTTCACAGGGAATTTTTATTCTTCTGCATCGACTACCAAACTCACTAGATTTTCATGGCCAACCCTACTATATAAAGGTCGTGAACGGATAATAATACTCAATTTATTAATAGATCAGGTTACAACGAAAACGAATTTGTCATAAGCAAATCATAGCGGATTTCAAGAGCACGACGGTGTCCATTTTGAAAAGATTTTGTGTATGATTTCGTTTGAATTTCGCGCGTTTTTCACTCTTTGACAGTTGTAACTTAGGTTAGAGTCAAAGTTAGTTAATAGAGAATATCTGTTAAATAACTTTGGGTTAGGTTCGTTGTCTTGCCAAACACGTTGTAAATTAATAGCCAGTAATTATAGTAAATTTGAAAAATGTAAGTCTACTTATTATGATACTTGTTGATTATTCATTGGTTAATTATTAATTGTCACAATAACACACCGACCAGTCGTCTGATATTGATTGGAACAAGAAAAACCTCCAACGCATTCCAGGGCCAAATGTGCTTTGCTTCCTCCAATTCTTAGGTTAGGTTTTCTACATTTTATAATTTCTAATTCACTCGTTCATTTTCACAGCTGCGAATAACTCAGCGAGATATTTGTAATTTTTTTGTATACACCAAAAAAGATCATTGCTGTATACAAATAAAAAAAGATAATCTTTTTTGGGAAACTAATATGGCTCCTCAACTGCGCAAGTTTTATTTTGGTGCAATTTTGCCAGAATTAGTAGATTCTCGTTTAAAACGAAATTTGCCTCTCCGTGATGTTAAAGGTCCAAGATTTATAATAAACTATTTTCTTTTACCTTTTTATATTTAGGATACACACTACTTGATATTGATGTGGTAAATCGCTCGTGAATCATTTTATCTTCCATTTTTTGTAAACTTTTATTTGTATTTCAGTTTATTTATTGTTTACTATAATGTTTTATTGTTTTCTATGATTTTTCTCGACTTTTTTGTATTGAAATTTGTATCTAGACTTTCAATTATTTACTTAGGCAGGGTGTATGTATTACTTCTAATAATTGCCGATTTTATATTTGTACACTCCGCTCTCTTAGGTTTTATATATTAATTGTTTATAGTATAATCTTATTTGTACTCTTTTTTTGTCTGATATTGATGCAAACATGCTTTCTGTTGGAAATAAAACTTATTATTAAAAAAACTTAATATTTTAGATTTTTTTTACGGAATTAGAATAAAGTAAAAAAAATCCTTACCAAAATTTAATTTATTTAGAAATAAATTACTTATGTTATTATTTCAAAATTTATAACAGAGATTTTGGAGAACTTCGATTATTTAGTTACCACCAAATAAAGAAACGATTTTCCGCACTTTTTGCACAGAAACATATTTAAATTAGTTCCCTGGATACAATGACAGCAATAAATCATTTTCGGGTCTGACAGTTTTACTACTCTGGTCCTTCTAATTACCTGACCGACAGTTGTCAGATCTGTGTAAAGTGGGTTGTCTAACTTTCTTGAAACTCAAATATTTTCTGACTGCAAAGGACCCTTAACGGTAAATCATGTGAGAAATCATAGTAATCCATATGCAGAGGCGGATCTAGACTGTTGGGGGCCTGATGCTATTATTTAATTGGGGTCCCATTTATGAATAGAAATTTGTTAGAAGCATTTAATTTTCACATTTTCAATACTATAAAAAAACAATAACAAAAACTACAAAAATAAAATATAATAAACAAACAGAAACAAATTATATAACAATTTTCTTTCTGCACTTGATGTCAGCATACGTTCGTAAGGCGCTGTCATACGTAATTATTGACCTTGTGATGTCATTCTCAATTGCAAGAATCGACAAAGAATTTAGTCTTTCGTTTTTCATTGTCGATCTATATTTATTTTTAATAAAATTCAATTTAGAAAAAGCTCTTTCAGCTTCACAACTGGTCATTGGCAGTGTCAAGAAGATCTTAACTACTGTGTATAGATTCGGGAAAATGTCAATGAGGTTTTTTTTAAAAATGCAGTCGAGTATATCTGAACATGTTACAGTACGTTTCTAAGCTAAGTCAGCAGAAATTTTTAAATATTCCTTAAATTGTAAACATTCATTCTTCAATCCTAATTCGATGTCCTCATTGTAACACTGTAAAACACAGTCAACGTTGTCTTCGTCAATATGTGCTACATGTTTGTTTGCAAGGTCCGTTAAGAATTTGAATTTCTTCCCTAATTCATAATATGTATCTTTTCTCCTGGTGAGTTCGGCTATTAAGTTGTCCAATAATCGATTAAGAACTTCTACGAGAAACTTCTCACCACCTTGTAGTGGACTAGTCCCTGTTGTGCCGTCCGAATATTTATAAATTTTAATCCTATTCTTCGCATTACTATGATTTTCTTTCACTTTACTGCTAAACCCATCCGCTCGCAATTCATAGTTAATTAGTTTCTCATTAGATTTTTCTCTAAGAGATTTGATAAATATTTCTAAAAATGTTGTTAGTGCAAAGATTTGGCACAAATCTAACCCAGGTTCTTGTAACTATTTACTGACTTTGTTAATCCTTTCAAGAAGTTCTCCCCAAACGACAGTCAATATAGCGGTTTCGAGTTTGTATAGCTTACCTAATATTTTTTTCGCTTCCATCTTGCAGTCATTTTTTATTAATAATATCATTAATAATAGTTTGTAATATGGTTACAATTAAGCTATAACTTGTTTTTAACGCGTGAACAGCGTCGTATCGACTAGACCATCTAGTTTGACTCAAACCTTTAACTGAAAGTGTCAGTGTTGCGTGTTGATTTAACAAATTCCACCGGTGAGGTGAAGCCGAAAAAACACGTACAGTTGTTGTACAACCCCAAAGTAGCTGATTACATCGGGTACGACACTTGCAGCTTCGATTCCTACCAAATTTAAAGAGTGAGCTGCACATGGTACATAATCCGCGAACTTGTTAATTTCCTTAACACGTGCTTGAAGTCCATTATATTTTCTACTCATATTCGCAGGATTGTCATAAGACTGCCCTCGACAATTTTTCATTGAAAGACTATTTTCTTCTAAAAATAAATGTATTGTATTGAATAAATTCTTTCCTGTCAATTGGTATAAATGATAAAAATTTTTCAAAACCTTTTCCTTGGGAAGTGCATCTCAAAATAATTGCCAGTTGATCCGTACGTGACAAATCTGGAGTAGAATCCACAATAATTGAATAATATTTTGTATCTGCATCGTTTATGTCCTCAAGAATTTTTTTTCTTACTTGAGTTGCCATTATGTCGATTATCTCTTCATAAACCGTTTTAGAAAAGTAACTTGTGACTAGTTGTTCGGTTTGACATTTCACTCATGTTGTTTCAAAAAAGGACCAAATTAGGCAATAAGTTCCATAAGTCCCATAAAATTTCCACTATGTGATGAACCCCATTTTTCATCATGTCCTCTAAATGACAATCCTCTTTCACTTAAAAATTTAATAACTGCCACAACTCGCATCAGGACATTGTAATAATATTCAGTCATTTTTTATTTTTTCCTGAAGATGCCTGTCAACAACGTTTTTATTTTCTTTGCGGGATACCCAGGTTAACAGCGCCTTTTTGTGATCCTGAGATTCTTCATGTCTGTCCAAAGTACGAACTATGTTTGCCCAATCTGAATAACCACTCATTAAAGATGTTGGTGTTCTAGAGAATAATTTGCACACTAAACAGAAAACACATCCTTTGCTTTTCGAATAGGATAACCAAGATCTCGTTAATTGCCGCCCATTTTTTAAATGTTTCAGAAAATATTTATTTGTAAATTGCCTGCTGTGTCCCTTATAATTCCTGATAGAACTCAAAGTAAATATTGTCTTCCCTTTTATTTTGAAAAAACGAGCTTTCTTTTGATAGTCAACTTCCGATAAAATTTTCATTGATAAAATTCGTTCATAATGCTATATCTTTAAATTTATCGTTAAATATATCACTTACGATTTGTTTAGTCTCATCTTTAATCATGTTTTCATCGACTGTATCGGTGACGGTGGTAACGTAGTTGTTGCATGAAGTTCCAGCAGAATTTTTCACACTTTTCAAAATAACTTCATTTTCAGCAGTTGAAGTTATTTGAAGTGGAAGTAGAAAGTTGAAGTGTAAAAAAACTTGTGACTTTTCGACATTTTGCTAGTTCCTGTTCATGTTGTAGCTTAAGTTTCCTCTTTTGGCTTCCACTGAGATATTTGCGCTCAGACATTTTATTTAATCAAATACCTAATGAATAAGTTGTATTATTAATATTTAACAAAACGAAAATAATTATCTAAATACCTTAAACACCGTTGATTCCAAAAATGATAATATATAATTCGACGCAAACTGAATTATGGAATTTTTAATTTTTAACACACTCTAATATTCGCAGAGCAGTACACTTTTAAATTTACTGAACGAACAGAAAAGAATGAGGGAAGCATCCTTATAGATGCGCCTCTGTAACCATGACAGGGAAATTTCTCATGCAAACGCAGTCTTTTTCAAAGCAAATTGCCTGATTTAACTGTTTTCAATTTTTGGCTCAATGAAAACCGATAAAACCTTGGACATGCTACGGATGTAACAATGTCGTAAGAGCCTTAAATGTCTCAAAATCCTCGCTATCGCTCGGGTGCCGAATTGACATTTGCGGCTCTTATAATATTTATTACATCCTAGGTATATTAATAGCTAATTCCTTCCTTTCCTCTTAGGGAAGTAAGTTGTTAGCCGCAATCAACACTTATTAAGTAAAATGAACTTGCTTGCATGAAGTGATGTCATAATACTATACTTACATTGTATGAAGTGGAAAAGATAATATAAATGACCGCAATGGGTTCCCTGATTCATCTTGGGCTTGTTTACAGACGGTGTATATACGTCAAGTAGGTTGTTCAGCATTGGCTAATGAAAGACAATGAAACCGCCAACAATCTACATTTGTATTTCCTGGTTTTTGCTAGGCACTCGTGGGACCAAATTGCGTAAGTCTGTATTACCATTATTGTACCATCATCACTTTTTCAAATAGGAAATTTCAGGTTCTAATTTTATAAAATGGGACCAAAAACAAAGCGGCTTCCAGCACCGTTTACCTAAAGCGGTCATGGTACTCACACATGGTACACATTCTTCAACGTTTATACTTTGAAGTGGAGTAAGTTCATAACTTTTCAGCAATCGTAATTAATACCATGGCCGACTAGTATAAAGATTATGGCCTGTCCGAGAGGTACGATACGTGTTGCCATCTATTAATAATTACACTTAATAATTTAGCAAAATTTTAATTTGACTTGACATTATGGGACTTCAAAACGTGTAATGGTGGTTTGTTTCGGTATGAATGCCTTTGTGCCTTTCAAAAAGTGTTAATAATTCTTTTGTCGTTTTTGAATTATTAATAGATGGCAGCACGTATGGTACCTTTGGCATTCCTTTGGACAGGCCATAATCTTTATACTAGTCGGCCATGTTAATACTAAGCTAATTCCAGGTATAAATGTCAAAGCCAAAATACTAAAACTAGATTGTATGGGGCCACATTTTAGACTGATTTTTGGGGCTTCTTTATCTTCTTATGGATAATTTTGAGTAAGTTTGAAGATAACATAATTACCTGTCATGAATTGATGATTCTAGGGAATAATCACGTGGAGCTTATGTTTACGCTAGGACAATATGAGAAGAACGGTACAAAATACTAATGGGTTGCATAAAGCATGGTCGTGTGTGTGAAGAATATTTTGCTTATGATCAATATGTTGCTATTGATATAGGGCTATATTGATCATAAGCAAGATATTCGCACTCTTTCTACTTTAACAGGATAGGTAAATCTCCATTAGTACTAAATCAGTGTTGCTATTTTTTTTACAAAGTACCTAAATAATAAATAATGTTATAAAATTTTACAACAAAGTTGCATATTCGAACTATTGGTTTTTTTAATCTTAATACATTTTGATCAAAAAAACAAAATGAGAGAGATGTGTGTTTTATTTATAGATTTAAACGAAACACTGTCCTAGTTTGTCAAATTTTGCATTGTATGAGCATTTATTCGATAAATATAATTTTACTTATTATTCCTTTTTCATTATAAACAAACATTCTTTTTTTTTCAGCCAAAGATATCAAAAATGGGCACTTTCTCCAAAATCGTTTCAAAAATGTGAGCTTTCTCGTAACCAGTTTTGACATAATTAAATAATTCCATAGCATTTTCCCTTGATTTATAAATATATCGCTGACGTTGCCGTCGCAATTTGGCACGCCGTTGGGGTGACGTTCGAGACGACCAACTTTTAACTTTCGCCATTACGTTGCCGTTGACGTTGGGTTTTCAACCAATCAAATTGCGGTAGTGTGCAGTGCTGCCATCTTGAAGGAAAATCCCTTGAAATAGGAGGGATATTTTTCTGGTTGACAGCACTAATTCCACGAAATTCAAATATTGATAGAGGTAATGAGGTCCACTAATATTAAGCCATTTCATCACCTGTTCACCGAAACCTTCATACTTTAAATACCCGCCATCATTTTCTACACTGTAGCTTTCTGTCAGTACTTATGCATTGTTAAAGATAATTCTTGACGTTTAAATCAACAAGATTTATTGCTATTCGTCTCAAAAACACATTAGGTATTATAACTACAAGGGCTTACATTCTGCCTTTTTTTCTCAATACGTGTAGTCTTCTTTTCACAACAAAAAAGGTAAAACATGTCTAAAATGGTAAATTTTTGTAGAAAAGTATCGATTTTGCAACTAAGCCCCTTGCTCTGCCAACGAATGAAAAATTCATCAGGATTGAGATCGAAACGGATGCGTGGGGCTTCTCTTTCGTTTCTTTTTTTTTTAATTAATACATTTAGTTTCCTTTGTATAACACGATTACATAAGAACATATTTCATATGGTAATTTCTCGTAGAAAAATAATGACTTTACAATTAATCTCCGTCCCTCGATTTATGACGAATAAAAAAAAAACACCAGAATTGAGATAGGGTGGGCGGGCGGGGCTCATATGTTGCCTTTTTTCTTAATATACCTAGTGGTCTTTTCAGAACAAGAAACTTAAAACATGTTTGATCTGACAACGAATGAAAAATTTATCACAATTGACAATTGAGTTCGGGGCGAGTATGGGTGGGGCCCATTCTTTGGCTTTATTTTTTTTTAATATACATAGTCTAGTTTTAGTTTTTAGAAATTTTCTTCAAACTCAAACGGGTTTCCTGATTGTCCTTAAGGGTGCCCAGTAGCAGACGGAAAAATGAGCTAAATAGAATTTCATTTTACGGGCGTAATTTCAACTTTGAAAAAAAGATCGACATTTCAAGTGATAGATTATGTCTAAATCTCTGGGGAGACACAATATTTTTTAAAATAAGTGATTGTTTAGTGTTTAATTAATCGTTCATTCTTCGAAGGAAATTGCATTTTTAGACGAGGAGAGATTTTTCGCTTCAACTTTTATATCAGTGCAAAGACAACATTGAGTTCTATGAGGAAGACCCGGTCGTTTTTGTTTAAAATTTATATTTATCAAAATATTTGCTTTTTAAAAAAATACTGAATAATGAAAATAAAGTGAAACTAGGCAACCCTATTTACAAAGATCCGTTTCGATAAATGGCTGAGTTTTTCACAGTAGGGAAGGAACCTTGCCGATCGACCCTTTCAGGTAATCAGTTCAGGTACTTTAGGTCATAAAACTCATAAATACTCTTAGCTGACCAACATTGTTGAAACTCTTTTACAAGGCGATTTCTTTCATTGCTGACATAATTTGATTTAAAAGTATGCAAATTTTTATAATTTTATACATTCTACTAAAACATTTTCTTTCAAAAAATTATTCCAATATTTTTTATCAATCTGTCATCTATATAAATAAAAATGAATCGCCGAAATGTATGTACGCGCATAACTTGAGAACGACTGCACCGAATTGGAGGATTCTTTTTTTTATGTATTCCTTATTGTCAGGACAAGGTTTATATGTAATAAAAGTTATAAAAAATGAGACAGCTAAAAGATAAAAATTTTTTAAAAATTTTGTATGGGAATCGCCACTTCGAATTAATTTGAATAGTTGGCGTTCCTGACGGACCTGTCGTCTAACTGACGTGTCATACAAAACTATTTCTTCCGTGCAATTGTGAAAAGTATATTGCATTTCAAATCGTTCTTTGTTTTTTCGTAAAAAAAACGTCGTTTATTTTAAGAAAAGTCTTGGTTAAAGTGAATTTAGTTACACATTGCGAAAGTTTCTTATTAATTTTGATCTGCCATTCTATTTACCTATATTCACTTTGTTGGTTTCGACAAAACCTCAACCATTACCGTTTTTCGAGGATTTAATTTGAAGTTTTCAATATTTTAAAATTCTCAAGACAAAATTTACAGATTTGATTGACTGTGAAAATAATTCTGTATCGTTTTATGAAGTTCATTACAATGCCGAGAAGACGACAAGCTGACATAGGTCCACGAAGTCAATCCACAATGAAAGAACCACGGGAAGGTCTGGAGCAGATCTCGCTAGGAAAGGAGAGGGCTAGGATTTGTTAATGAGGGACAGAACGTTATACAGTACAATACAACAGAAATACAATACAGGTACCTATAATCTAACTACAATACATTATAGATACAGATACAATTCAGATACAATACAAATGCAAAGTTAGTGCCCAATACACCACCGGAAGAAATTGCACCAAAAATTGAGAATGTTGCAAAATGAAAACCCAAGCAAGCACACCGATGGAACTCGGAACGAAATCTATTGGTCGCAGCGCTCACACGCTCAAGGGAGAACGCAGCCGCATAGATACAGGGCCGACTGACCTCATCTTTTTGGGATGATGAACCTCATCCTTTTAAGATGATGACCCAGCGTCTAAGGGCCAACAGAACCCTCCCAGGCCAGAGCGTCTGACGACTTCTTCAGTCTCGGAACCAAAGAATGCACTGATGCAAAATTAAAACCCAAGCAAATGCACCATGAAAACAAAGCACTTGCACCACTGGAGCTAAATTGGCAAGACCCAAGTTAAGTTAGTAACACATACAATATACAGTACAAAATGTTTAAATTACAAAAGTTACAATATACAAATTTCTCCACGTTTGCCAACAAAGAGCGATGACTGTGCTCGCTCGTTGCTTTTGCCCAGCAAGAACCAAACAATACGAGGAGGTCTGGAGTGCGTGTACTTTGTATATTCTAAAGCCGTACTTTATCAGTGCTGAATGCATCTTATTAACAACAAATTTCAAAAAAAATCGGGCATTTTTGGAAAAATATCCACTTTCCTCGTGTTCACAGCACTTAATGCAAAACATTTTCACTAATATTTATTAACAAGAAATTAGAAATTCGCAAAAACGTACTACTTTTAACCCAAAACGGAGTTCCAGTGTTGCTGCTACCAGACCGGAATCAAAACTGAACACAAAGGATCGAAAATGTGACCTTTTATCAGGTAGCTCACGTGACAGTGATATCATCGTAGGTCACGATGAGATTGCAAAAATTATTTTTCATATTTTGGCCAGGAAAATGCACATTTTCGGGGATAATTTAACATTGTTTAAACAAATTGATTTGTTTTTAATAATTTCGGGTTTGTAGGAAAACGAGTTTCGGTTTAATTATTATATATTGATGCTTATCATATTTAAACATTATAAATGATATTAATTATGTTTAAATTATTTATATCGCGAAAATGTATAGCTTTGATCAACCAACTTCAATCGTTTCAAAAATCTTCCCAAAAGTTAAACATTGTCGAGTAAACAAATCACGGAACCCAATAAATTAAAACTCAAATCGAACTTACCATGATTTTCGGCCTTTTCGGAAAAATATCCACTATCCTTCGTGTTCACAGCGCTTAACACAAAACATTTTCGCTAATATTTATTAACAATAAATTAGAAATTCGCGAACACGTGCTACTTTTAACCCAAAACGGAGCTCCAGTGTTGTTGGTATCAGACCGGAATCAAAACTAAACACAGAGGACGGAAAAATGGACCTTTTATCAGGTAGCTCACGTGACAGTGACGTCATGGTACATCACGATGAGATTGCAAAAATTATTTTTCATATTTTCGCTCAGAAATTGTTCGGGGTTAATTTAACAATGTTTAAACAAACTAATTTGTTTTTGCGAACCTCGTGTTCTTAGGAAAATGGTTTTCGGTTTAAATATCACATATTAATAGTTATCATAGTTAAACATAATGAATTATATTAATTATGTCATTTCTGCAACTTTTGAGTTATTCTCTAAAATGAATTGACTGATCCATACATTTTTTTGAGTCACTGTAAAAGCAAATCTAAAAATATGAATGCAATGATAATTTGCACACTTTAGATAGGATTTATTCGGCAAAATCTTGAGATGACGTCATCAAGTTTTTGGGCTTGATAAACAGATATATTTTGATTAAAAACGTACCATGTCAAACAGTAACTTCAAAACGTCTGCAATATTTCAAAATTCAGTTTTGCAATTCTCGATTCAATCAATAAAATAAATTGACTCAGTGATTAATTTTTTTGAGACACTCCCTATAAGCAAAACTAAAAAATATGAATGGAATGATAAATCACAAGTATAGTCTCATCCTATTTTGGATATTTTAAAAAGAATTCATTTGGCAAAATTTTGGGCTGATGCCATAAATTTTTTGGAGGAAGTAAATATTATTTTGAATAAAAATTTGTTATGCTTCTCATCTGTTTAAAACATCTGCAAGATTTCAAAGCATTCGGTTTTGCAGATTCAAAATTAAATTGTAGGTGAAACAGTTGCAAACAGTGTGTATTTTTGGCTGCGGGTTCATACTTGATTCAAAAACTATATACAGCTTTTATTATTCCTACTATAAGACACGTTTAAGCACAAATCACATTTTTCGCATATAATTTCGCAGAAGAATCGGTCCAATAGTGTCCGAGATAATTTGCCTAACAAAAATGGATAGAGACAACAGACAAAACAGACAACAGACAGACCGAAACGGGAGACCTATTTTTTCGTACTCTAGGGGTCATGAAACGTCAAGAAAACTTAAAAGTAGAGATTCGTCCGATGGAGAAGTAGTAGTTTTGACAGTAAATTACTTCAAAACACACGACAATTAAACATAGGTTGATCAACTTTTGAAAAATAGAACTGATCAAATATTTTTTGCAATCTTTTGATCCATTTTTCGAAAAATTTTGAAAAACTCTAAAACGTAAAAATTTTGGTTTGCCGTTTTGTCACTAAATGATTCAAAAACTGCCACCATTTGAACTTAGAGCGATCAATTTCTGAAAAATCAAACTTACAGTAAACCTTTTTACAAACATTTAAAGATAAACTTAACAAAAAAAATTTAATATCTGGCACGCAAAAATTTTGTTTTACCATTTTAGCACGAAATGTCTCAAAAATAGGCGACAATTAAAATTTACAGCACCTTATTGGAAGACTATACATTTTGGAATCTCTGGAAGGTACAATCGCGCGTCGGTTTAACGACAATCTTAACCGAACTTTTGAAGGTGAGTGAGAAAAAACTGGCTAACGATTTACATTATTTGTTTGTATTTTGTGTGATGTAACCTTATTCTGGTCAATTTAAATGCGGATTTCTTGTTTCCTTTTTCGAAAAAAAAAAGACACACCGGCATTGATCTTTAACCGAAGATATCCGAAACAGGCACATTCTCCAACACCTTTTCAAAAATATAAGCAAAAATTTTTCCAAAAGCTTCTTCATAACCATCTCTGAGATCACCATATATTTCCAGAACATTTTCTTTAAGGATCTTTTTCACACGATCGGCTGATTCTTGATCACCATCAAACAAATTGTTAACATCAAAATCAATAACCCGTGGTTGCATACTAAGTTGTTGGTGAAGGATACTGAAATACGTTTTACCCTTTTTTTCATATTCTCCCAATTTAAAAGTAAGCCCAAGGTGATTATCCTCTAGAATTATTTTCATTAATGGTTAGTTAAATAAAATATCAAACTTACGGAAAATAATCCATCCCGTCCCGTTTCCAAAAACAGACGTCATTAAAATTTGCCCATGTATCTCATAGTTGAAGTCCATTCGGAAATTTGGCACGACGCAGTCAAGATTTAAAGTTTTCTCGTTGTAGTTAAACCTGTCAAAAACATATGTTAACAGCTGTGATTATCAAAAGTTATCACTCACTCAGCTTTGGAACACGTGGTTTCGTTAAAACCCGACACTCTCAGATTTTGATAAGTGTGTTTAGCAGCTACATACTGGGAACCGGCGTCTATGGTCAAGGATGGTATTACCAAAGGTTCTAGACTTACTAAACCCAATGACTTTATGGGACGGTCCATCTGCCTTAAGGCACTTTCGATAGCTTTCGGCAAACACAGACGCGAAGAGGTTTGTTTTAAGTTACATTTTTTAAAACCAGAAGCTAGAATTTAAAAATTAGTCAGAATAGTATTAATGGCGATAATTTACGTAATTTGCCGCCAAAACTAACAGCTACCAAAAAAGCGTACAGTGTTATTAGTAGGAACGTCATTTTGTTCTCTTTTAAGAATGGTCTGAAAAATGTATATTCTCTATATATAGGCACAAGTTCAAAATTCATCGATAAACCAGTTATTACTAATGAAAGTAGTTATTTTGCATAGTATTATATCTTGTTGTTTACCTTTACGTAAGAGGATTTTTGTTGGATCTGTATTTGTAAAAAAATACTAATTTACGTCTTAGAATACGTGCAGTCTGCATCGTTTGTCTCCTTCATTAGTATTGGTGGAAAGGGACAAACATAATAACTTTGTATTTTTTATTACTTTTTAACAGATTTTTTTAACCAAAGATATCTACAATAGGCACTCTCCCCAAAATCTTTTCAAAAATGGAAGCAAACACTTTTCCGAAAGCTTCCTCATACCCAGGTCTAACATCTTCGTATAATTCTCGTGCATTTTCTTTCAATACTTGTTTTAGACGATCAGCTGATTGTTCATCCCCATCAAACATATTTTGAAGATCAAAGTCAAAATCCTTGGGCTGCATCCTCAGTTCCTGATGGATGATATTAAAATATGTTTTACCTTTCTTTTCATATTCTCCAAACTTAAAAGTAAGCCCAAGCTGATTATCGCCTAAAATTATTTTCAAATAAAAATTACAGCTAAAAAAATATATCAAACTCACTCAAAAGAAACCATCCCGTTCCGTTTCCGTAAGCCGATATCATCATAATTTGCCCACGACCTTCATAATTGAAGTCCATGCGGAAATGTGGGACGACGCATTCCAGGTTTAACGTCTTCTCCGTGTAATTAAACCTGTCAGAAAATATATGTTAATAATCGTGATTATCTAAAACTAATAACTCACTCAGCTTTGGAACAAGTAGTTTCATTAAAACCAGACACTCTCATATTTTTGTAAGTATGCTGAGCAGTCACGAACTGATTACCAGCGTCCATAATCATCAATGGTATTACCAAAGGTTCCATACTCACTAAGCCCAATTTTTTTGAGGGGCGATTCATCTGCTTTATCGCGCTTTCAATAGCGTTCGGCAAACATTGGTGGGACGAGATTTGTTTTAGGTTACATTTTTTAAAACCAGTGGCTAGATTGTTAAAATTCAAGAATAATTTTGGCGGTAATAAAGAGCTACTTACGTAATTTTGCCCCGAAGCTGATGGCTACCAAAGAAGCGCAAATTGTTGCTAGTAAGTATCTCATTTTCTTGTTTTTAAAGAATGGTTTGAAAAATTTTATTCACGTCATATTTATATACCTTTCGCGAGACCAAGATTTATTATTAAACCAGTTCAATTTATGTATAGTAATTTTTTGCCCAGGATTGTTGCTTACATCGAGTTGTTTGTCTAGATTTGACTTTAGACTTAGGAATGAACTAATGCTTAATTTTTGCAAGTATGTAGATAGAAATATTTTATATAAAAAGAAAAAGAAAAGTTACGAAGGTGAGAGTTTCCAAAAATTGTATTTAAATAAGAAGAAGCAGTAAAGTTTCTTTTAGCGATTACTCATTTCTTCATCGCCATCAAACAAATTTTCCACATGAAAATCAATATGTTTGGGTAGCATTTTCAGGTGTTGAGCAACGACATAAAATTTATTATTATTTACATTATATTATAATATGTTTTTCTAGATTTTGCATTAAAGCAATCAAATGACGTCAAAGCGGTGTAATTTAGATCGGTACGATTGGTAGCCATGGCGAGAAATGTCAGGTGAATGTCAGTGGCAAATGTCAAATTAAAATTTTCCGTATTTCGGGAGGCGTAAAGACTTCACTAACCGCTTCACAAGACAATTTAACCAATTTTAACTTACAAAAATTCGAATTGATTCGAATTACAGTTGTTGTGAAAATTCGAACTTCAAATATTTCGTGGTCTCTGTCAGACTACCCCATCACCAACAACGACAAAATTTCCCAGATTAAAAAAAAAGCAAATTTTGATTAAATTTTGCGAAAAACCGTGCTCGGTAGAAAAAATAGTATAAATAACTCGGTCATAAGGTCATTGCGGCACTCATCCTTTATATAACTGGCGGCTTCTCCGCTCGTTCTATAAACTTGAATTCGTGCCTTAATATTTGCCTTATGAAACTTGTTCTTTAATATACTATTTCAGAACTATCTATATTTACAACATTCGGCTTAGAGACCGTTAAGTGAAAAATTCCAGTAATACACCTAAGTGAGGGTGCCCATAAATGAAGTCTTGGAAAAACCCGTCCACATTACCAGAGAAGGTCGGTACTTATTTACCTGCATACTGTCAATAACCAACTGTATTAAACTTGTATTAAAATTAAGATTTTCACCAATTACCAGGAAAAATGCAGCAAAACTTTTAAAATATGCATAAAAATACACTCAACAATAATATATGCAATAATAAAATGATTTAACAACAGTTTTTTTTATCATTATTGACTAAATCAGTTACTACTGGAAATAAATTTCTAGTTTCCTCAGCTCAGGCTTCGGATCTTAGGTTTTTTGCCTTTTTATATCTACTTCAGGCATTGCAGCGAAATTTATATATTTATCCGAATTTAAAAAGTTCTGTTTATTTAACGCCCATTTATTACTCTACCTAAAATGCCTAATTTACCGTTAGAAACCTAAAGTGTTAAATAAACGACCTAATTGTAAATTTTAAAAGACTTAAAATTGGATTCCACGACCAACGAAGCGGACGTGCTTGCACAATAGAGATTCTCCGTGAATTCATTGTTTTGGCTGGCAGATTGTTTAAAAATGGGTTGTAAACAACGCCCTTGAGTTTAATGGTACGGGTTGGTGTCGCCAACTGACAACGCTGGCCTGCATTTCATTTAGATTATAGCCGGAAGGAGGTGAATCTCTGAAAAAGCATTTTATTTTAGAAGTTTTTTGTTAGTGACACTGAGTGTCTCTGCGTGTTAGTGAGTGTGCTGGGGCCGGTTTTGATTTTTGTGCATACAGTAAAGAATCCTCAAAATGCCTAAGGTAAAATCATCCATGAAAGATAGAATCAAATTATGGTTAGGGAATAATTTGGACACTAATTTTCAATTTCCTTCTTCAACCAAAGACAATGAGTTATTCTGCAAAGTGTCTGGAAAAATTGTAAGTAAACATTTAAAATACTGAAGCTTGAATTATGTTCATATTTTTGTTTCCTAGTTTAAGTGCGAAAAAAAAATCACACTTTGAACAACACTGCAGTGGCGATGCACATAAAAAGAACGAGAATAAATCCAGTAAACAGACTTATTAAACATTCATTCCGACAAAGATTTTACGCAATTTTGCACCGATTTATGTAGGGCATTTACCGCAGCAAATATTCCATGGAATAAAGTTAGTTGTCCTGAGTTTAAAAATTGTATGCATAAATATACAGGAAGGCATTTAACCTCAGAAAGCACTCTGAGAAAAAAATATTTACCAAAAAATTGGGATATGGTGAGCACTAGAATTTTTATTTAAAAAGTTTTTAACATAAATTTTATAATTTACAGGTAATTAAACAAATTAGAAATTCTATTGGCAATAATGATATATGGATTAGCGTCGATGAGACGACGGACAGATTAGGAAGATGCATAGCCCATTTAGTAATTGGAAAGTTATCTTCTGAAGAAGCTGGCCGTCCATTTCTACTAGCTTTGAAGCAGCTTGATAAAACTAATAGTAACAAAATCTCGAGATTTATAAACGAAGCCTTGGGTGTGCTATTGATAATTATAAGCATTGCAATTATTATAATTTATTTAATTGTTAATTTATAGCTTCATTGTGGCCAAAAAGAACTGAACACAAAAAAGTTAAATGGTTTGTATCAGATCGTGCTTCATACATGATGAAAACTGGTACTAATTTGAAGGTGTTCTATGAAAATATAACACACTTAACATGTATGGCACATGGGTTACATTTAGTGTCTGAAACAATTGGACTGAATTATCCAGATGTCAATGGGATAATTAGCAATGTTAAGAAAATCTTTTTAAAAGCACCAATAAGAATAGAGTTTTATAAAAACAGTTTACCAAATACACCTCTCTCACCTGAACCTGTATTAACCAGGTGGGGCACTTGGATTCAAGCAGCATTGTTTAATGCAGAACACTTTGATGTTTTAAAACAAGTTAGTAAATATACAATGTTTTTTTACTATCATTCTTATATTGAATATTTTTACGTTGTAATGTCATTTGAAGCCACAGATGCACAAAGGATTAAAAAAGCTCAAGGTTTCCTGAATAAAGCAAACGTTAAAAATGAACTCTTGTACATTAAAACTTACTTTAAAATTATTGCTGATGCAATAGAACAATTAGAAACTATAGGTTTAAGATTAAATCAAAGTATGGAAATTGTGGAAAACGTGTATACATCTTTAAAAAACACAACAGGAAAGGTGGGGAAATGGCGTTCCAAAAATTATGTTCTCTAATAAAAAAGAATCCAGGATACGATTTTATATGTTCAGTGAATAACGTAATTTGCGGTAATGGAAATGCTACCAACAATACATACATAAATGAAAACGTAGGTTGTTCAATATTTAATTTTGCACCCATCACTTCTTGTGATGTGGAACGCACATTTTCAAAATTTAAAAGTGTTTTAAGTGAGGGAAGCAACGGTAGAGGCGTGCGCCGCACGATAGAAGACGATTCGCCGCGCACAGAGCCAGTAAAAACATTGAAAATGGAAGAAAGGAAACATATAAAACAAGGACAAGAGCCGTTGATGGAAATGATGAAGCAACTAATTCAAGAAATGAAACAACTGAGAGAAGAAAATAGAGGGGTAAAAAAAGAATTACAGACAATAAATGGAATACTGGAAAGAGAAAGAGAAGAATGGAAAGAAAAGGAGAGAAGCTTCGAAGAAAGAATCAATAATTTAGAGAAAAAGTTGTGAAAAAAAAGAGAGGCAAGAAAGAAGAAACAAGTTCATAATTACGGGTATGGAAGTAAGGGAAAAAACAGATGCAAAAGTAGTAGAGGAATTTTTGAAAAAAGAAATTGAGGTAGAAGTAAAAGTTTTGGAAACAATAATTATAGGGAAAGAGGAAAGCAATAAAATACTGGTTAAGACGCTTTGGGAGGAAAAACAAGAGGTGATGAAGAATAAAAATAAACTGAGAGGAAAGAGAAGATATATTGCTAATGATTGGACAGTACAAGTGCAAACAATTCAAAAAGGAATTAGAGAGGTAGCTAAAGAGGAAAGAAAAAAAGGATACACAACAGGGGTGGGATATAAGAAGCTGGAAGCAGGGGACAAAATGTATACATGGAATGAAAATAAAAGAAAATTGGAAGAAAAATTTCTCAAATCAAGTCAGCACTAAACGAAGAAAGAAACACAAAGGGGAGGGGTAGTAATGATAGGATAAATAAAGACTTTAGGTTTAAGAATGTAGATTTTGTACACAATAGGGGAATGGAAAAGAAGAATGGGGAAGATAAACGTGGTTTAAAATTACTCTTTTGGAATATTGCGGGTTTGAAAAAGAAAGATAATTTATTTTGGGACTACGTGAAAAATTTTGATTTTGTGGGACTAAGAGAAACATGGATACTAGAGAGAAACTGGAACAAACTGAAAGACGTGTTGCAAAGGAATTTGAGTGGAAATTGCAAGGAGCAAAAAAAGAAAAACGCACAAGATGGAGAATCTACAGAACATATAATAGAGGAATGAGAAACACGAAACAAGAAATACAAGAAAAAATTGAAGAGTCCGAAGAAGAATTTCTACTGTTAGGAGGAGACTTTAATGCCAGAATGGGGAACAAAAGCAGGGAAGAAGACAGGAAAAAAACACGAAAATCGAAAGATAAAGTAGAAAACAAAGACGGAAAATTGCTATGGGAATTAATTGAAGAAAGAGGTTGGGAAGTCTTGAATGGGGTGAAGGAAAGGGACGAGGAGGGGGAATTTACCTGGATAGGTAAAAGAGGGAAATCGGTAATAGACTACGTAATAGTAAACGGATTAGCAGAAGAAGAGGTAGAAACATTCAAAATAGGAGAAAGAGTGGACTCCGATCACATGCCACTGGAAGTAAAAGTGAGGGGCATAAGTAGAGGGAGCGGATGCTTTAGGAATGAAGTAGGAAAAGAGAAGAAGATATGGGTATGGAATGAAAAAGTAATTGAACATTATAAAAAAAAATTTGGAAGTGGAATTTAAAGAAAAAGCAACTGAAAAGAAAATGGAAGTATTAAAAAGAGAAATTAAAAGAGCAGCCATAAGAAAAGAAATTGTAACGATAAATTTAGGAAAGAGAAACAGATGGTGGGATAACAGATGCAGAGATTTAAAAACAAAAGCAAGGAAATATTTACGAAGGTGGAAAAAGGGGAAAGGTATAAAAGAAGAGTACTGACAAGCAAAAAATAATTATAGAAAACGATGCAAAGAAAAGAAAGAAGAGATTCAGCAAGAAGGAGAAGAAAAAATTAAGGCCATAAGAACTGAGCAAGAGGCATGGGAGTATATAAATAAAGAACAGAAGAACAAAAGCACGATTAGTGAAGACATACCGATAATACAGTGGAAGAAACATTTTATGGAACTGTTGAATGGAAAGGAAGAGAGAATTGTACTGCAAGATAGTAAAACCGGGATTGGTGGTAGAGAAAGGGAGGCTGAGATTCGAGTAAAAGAAGTAGGAAAACAAGTAGGAAAACTGAAAAGAAGAAAAGCACCGGGGAGGGATGGGTTGGTAAACGAAGTGTGGATATTTGGGACGGATGGGATGATTGAAAGATTGAGCGAGTTAATGAATGATGTGTGGACGGGTAAAGGTTTTCCCAGGGAATGGAGAGTAGGGCAAATATGCCTAATTCATAAAAAGGGTAGTAAAGAAAAAGTAGAGAATTATCGGGGAATAACTCTCCTAAATACGGCATATAAACTGTACGCAATGGTGTTAAATGAAAGGTTGGTGACAGAGATGAACGAAAAGAGTATATTACCGGAAGTCAAGCGGGATTTAGAAGAGATAGAATGGCTATGCACAATGTATATATCCTGCATCATCTAATAGAAAAAGAGTTGCTAAAGGAAGGAGGTCGGGTATATACACTGTTTGTAGACCTAAAAGCCGCGTTTGATACGGTGGACAGAGAGTGTTTGTGGAAATGCATGGAAAGAAGAGGACTGAGTGAAAAGTTAATTGTAGCAGCAAGAGAGATTTATAGAGAGACAGTGACTAGTGTGAGAGTGGGAGGAATAGAAAGTGAATTGTTTTGGACGACGAAAGGATTGAAACAGGGATGCCCATTAAGTCCCAGTCTGTTTGCTTCTTACATAAGCGATATCGAGGAAATGTTTAGAGGAGTACAAGCGGGAGGAATTGTGGTGGAGAGAGAAAAGGTATGGTGTTTGACATTTGCAGATGATTTGGTAATATTGGCGAAGGATGAACGTGGAATGAATGAGATGAAAAAAAATCTGCAAAAATACTTTAAAAGAAAGAAACTGGAGGTAAATGTAGAAAAAACAAAAATGATGGTGTTTAGAAAAAAGGGAGAAAAAGGGAGGAAAAAGTGTGGCGTTGGGAAGATCGAATCATAGACACAGTAGAGGAGTTTAAATATTTAGGATTTAAGTTTACAACAACTAACACGGTAAAACCTCACATAAGAGAAAGAAGGGTCAAACCAATGCAGATAATGGTAATGGTGTGGAGTATAAGTGAGAGAATATTTGGACATGACGTAAGAAGAAGGATGAAAATGTTTGATAGTTTAGTTAAGAGTGTATTAATGTATGGAGTGGACATATGAGGATGGAAGGAATATGCAGAGATGGAAGCAGTAGGTACAAGAAAAATATTTGAGGTGGATGTTAGGGCTACGGAAAGAGACGCCAGGCTATATAGTATGAGAAGAATGTAAACGAGAGAAATTAAGAGTATACACTGGGAAAAGAGCTGTTAAGTATGGTGAAAGTTTGAAAGAAAGAGAGGAATGTAGGATATTGTATGAATGCCGGAAGAAAAAAAAAGGAAGCGGGGAAAGAACATCACAAGGGTCGAGAAGGATATTATGAAAGACTAGGATACGCATGGATGGAAATAGAGAGAAAGAGAGAAATGGGGGTGAGTATGAGGGAAGAGTTGTGTATGCGTGACAGAGACATAGATAAACAAGAGAGAAGAGCGAGTCTAAGTAAATCTAGGTACAATGCAGACTATAGAAAGATAATAACAGAAACAATACCAAAGTACCTAGACAGAGAAAGCGCGAAAGAAAATAAAATAATTGCGAAGTTTTGGGTAAGCGAAGGTGAGAGAATGTGTAGGATGTGTGGAGAAGGCCGAGAGACGATAGAGCACATGCTGCATGACTGTGAGGAGAGCAAAGAAAGAGAGGAGAGTGTCACCGAGATATTGAATGAAGACGGAAGAGGGGTGGAATGGATGAAAAAAGTGGAGAGGTCAAGAGTAACGTTGGGGCAAAGGGGGATGAGGTAAAGGAAAAAAAAAGTTATTTGGTTTAAAAAATATATTTATTTGGTTTTTTCTTTATTAGGAAAGAATTGTAGTGCTGAAAATGAAGAATCTTTTAAGCCCGTAGGGTAAAAATAAACGCTTAATAAAAGTGTTGTAAGCGATCAAAGGAGTAAGTTTACAATCGAAAATTTAGGGAAATACGATATATATATAGTTTGCCTTTGTAACTCATTTTAAATAGCTAAATTAATATTTTATTTTTTATTAAATGCGACTTGCTTTAATTTGATCACTATTTTTTTGCGATAACTTAGAATTAGTGGACGTAACTATAGATCGTTTATTTATTTAATAATTTTTTTGTTTGTTACACAAAATGTTTGTTTCTATAATGTCTTGTTTAATGTTTTTTTTTAAATACATATTTTTTTGATGTATGCTTTTTCGTTTATCAAATATTTTTTCCTCCAGGTTTTAACCTAAAGTAAGATTTTTATAACCTAATTCGTCAATTTTAGGACCTAAAAATATCTCCTGATGTTACCTGATGGTATTGATATGATTATTTCAAGTGAAACTATTTCCGAAAGAAAAAAGTTCGTTAAACCTTCATGAATAAACCTTGTAATGGTATTATTACTTGTCTTTTCCAAATCTTTTGTGCTAATCAAACATGAAGTGTCACATTTTTCACTGGTCAAAGTTCTAGTCAACAAGTTTGTGACATAACGTCCACATGAATCGGTTGTTACTTAGACATGAAAATAAATTCGATTATCATCTACAATTTAACGAATAGCTTGCTTTATTTTTTGAAACATTTTGTCCACTTAGTTTTTTCTTTAGGTACTCTCATCGGGAACTGGCTTCATGGTACGCTTTTTAAGACATGATCTATTCAATATACAATATAAACGGAATGTCTCCAGTTCGGACTAGGATGTCTTAATTACTGTAAAGATAAAGCCGAAATGTCTTGGTATTTGTTGATGTTTCGATTGTAGTCTGTCAGTGTTGGACTTTGAAATGGTAATTGTTACAGAGTTTAGCAAAAATTTAAACTGATATTTGGAGAGATTCAGAAAAATTGACAAAAAATTTGTATTGGTTATTTTTTATTTAAAAATGGATTTTTGTGTCACATTTTATGTCATTACAAGTAAATTCGAAACCCATCTTTAGCCGAAAATATCAAAAACAGGCACTTTTTCCAAAATCTTTTCAAAAATATAAGCAAATATTTTTCCAAAAGCTTCTTCATAACCATCTTTAATATCGTAATATATTTCCAAGACATTTTCTTTCATTATCTTATTCAAACGACGAGCCGCTTCCTCATCACCATCAAACAAATTTTGAAGATCAAAATCAACATCCCTGGGTTGCATATGAAGTTGTTGATGAAGGATATTAAAATACTTTTTACCGTTTTTTTCATATTCTCCAAATTTAAAAGTTAGTCTAACTTGATTTTCGCCTAGAATTATTATTGTCACTTACGCATTAGTTAAAATAAATATCAAACTCACGCAAAATGGACCATCCTGTCCCGTTTCCATAAACAGACACCAGCATGATTTGTCCATGTATCTCATAATTGTAGTCCGCTCGGAAATTTGGCACGACGCACTCCAGATTTAGCGTTTTTTCGTTATACTTAAACCTGTCAAGAAATATAATATAATAACTGTGATTAACAAAAAGGTATCCACTCACTCAGCTTTGGAACAAGAAGTTTCATTAAAACCCGATAGTTTCATGTTTTTAAAAATTTGCTTAGTAGCCACATACTGAGAACCGGAATCTATAATCAGGGACGGAATGACCAAGGGTTCTAGGGTCACTAAGCCCAATTTTTTTATGGGACGATCCATCTGCCTTATTGCATTTTCGATGGCTTTCGGCAAACACTTATCTGAGGATAAGTTTACGCTACACTTTTTGAAACCAGAAGCTGGAATTTTGGAATTTGTCAGAGTGGTGGTGATCGTGATAACAACAAACTTACGTAATTTGGCCCCGAAGGTTGTGGCTATAAAACAAGCGCAGAGTGTTGCTATCAACTGGTTCATTTTCGTCTGTTGGAAGAATGGTTTAAAAAACTTATTTTATATAGATTTCAAAATATTGAAATGCGTCTACTAAGAAGTTGCTTTTATTAATAATAATTATTCAGAATAGTTGAGTTGTTTACCTTTGAGCAAGATGGTTTTGTTAGTTCCCTCTCCCATTTGATTTTATTTCTGAGAACAAAAAGACTCAGTAAACAGAAGGACTTTTTTGGAAAATTGTGGGTGGAATTTCGGTATTATTTTTCTCGTTTTAGAATTAGGAATCATTGGAAGATAGCATTAGTGCAGCAACCTTCAATGCACTACTGCATATGCAAGTAGTGTAGCCCAGATTGTTATCTAATCAGGAATTTAAACTGCACTTTTGAAGGTCAGTGACAAAAAACCGACGAAAGATTTTCTTTATTTGTTTATATTTTGTGTGATGTAAGTAGTCTTGTTCTAGCCAATTTAAATGCGACTTTTTTTTGTTTTCTGTCTCCAAGTTTTTAATTGACTGTTATACTACTAACTATTATAATTCTTAGATAACTTCGCAACAAATTAAATTGACAAAAACACTGTCATCACATTTTTACCTTTTATTTTGATTTTTCCATCATTAAACATTTAAGACAAAAGCAATTTTATCATCGGCCTTTAGCTGAAAATATCATAAATAGGCACCTTCTCCAAAATCTGTTCAAAAATATAGGCAAATATCTTTCCAAAAGCTTCCTCATAACCAGGTTTGATATCATCAAATAACTCTAAGATATTGTCTTTTATTAACTTTTTGACACGACTTGCTGATTCTTCATCACCATCAAACAAGTTTTGAACGTCAAAATCAATATCCTTGGCTTGCATCTTAAGTTGCTGGTGAACTATATTAAAATATTTTTCACCGTTCTTTTCATATTCTCCAAGTTCAAAAGTAAGTCGAAATTGATTATCGCCTAGAATTATTTTCGGTTAAATGCTTTAGTCACGAGAAATATCCGACTTACGGAAAATAATCCATCCCGTCCCGTTTCCATAAACAGGTACCTTCAAAACTTCCCCATGTATGTCATAGTTGAAGTCCATTCGGAAATTTGGCACGACGCACTCTAGGTCTAATATTTTTTCGTTATAATTAAACCTGTTAAAAATATGTTCATAACTCTGATTGTCAAAGGTGGAACCACTCACTCGGCTTTGGAACAGGAAGTTTCGTTAAAACCAGATAGTTTCAGATTTTTAAAAATCTGTTTAGTGTGCACGTATTGAGAACCGGCGTCTATAATCAGAGATGGAATTATCAAAGGTTCAAGATTCACTAAACCCAGGTTTTTTATGGGACGATTCATTTCCTTTATTGCGCTTTCGATAGCTTTCGGTAAACACATATGCGAGGAGATTTGTTTTACATTACATTTCTTAAAACCAGGAGCTAGAATTTTTAAATTATTTTTTGGAATCATACAACTGGTGACAAAAAACTTACGTAATTTGGTCCCAAAGGTGGCAGCTACCAAACAGGCACAAAGTGTTATTAGTAAGTGGTTCATTTTCTTGATTTTGAAGAATGGTTTGAAAAACCTGGTCCCCGACATTTATACACTTCACGATCAAAATTCATTAATAAACGAGTTATTTTTTGTGTATAATAATTATTTTGAATAATATTATCACTTACTTATGTTTAGCTGTTTACCTTTAGTAAGAAGGTTTTGGTTAGATTTTTGTCTAATGTTGACGTTAATAAACGGTAGAAATAAAAACACTTATTTACGTCTGTGCAATCTCTTTCATTTGGTATTTGGAATTTGGTGTCTTTTAGGAAGTTCTTGTAAGGTACTGTCATATTTACTTTCTGTTCTACTGTTTCTTTGCTTATGGCATTTGTACAAGTTTTTTTTTTGTTTTACTTCCCGAGCGTAAGCTAAGGAAGTATACTAATCGAGTCCATCGGACGAATAACCACTTTTATGTTCTCTCGACGTTTCATGGCCCCTACAGTACGAAAAAACTTGTCTCCCCTTTCCGTTGTACAGTAAGCATTCATTTTATTTATTGTAGAGTAAGTGTTAACTTACGAGGCTATGATTACACTAAAGAAAAAAAATCTGCTGTTAAAGGAGTCAATTAAAGAGCAGGATAGTAGACTCGAGTTATTAGAAAAAGAAACCCGAAAAAACAACATTATTATTCAGGGAGTAGCTGATGAAAACGACGAAAAAGAGGAAAAAGTAACAGAAAAAAATCAGAATATACTGACGAAAATGGGAGTTAAGGTTGATGTAGAGATGGATGCATCTGAGATAAGAAAAATAGGTACATATAAGTCGAATGGAAGTAGACCAATACTTGTGAAGCTACAAAAATGGAAAACGAAGACGGAAATTTACAAATTAACAAAAAATCTGGAAGGTCCGGACATATGGATTAATGATAATTTCTCAAAAAAGGTACAAGCAGAAAGAAAATGCCTAATACCTTATTTACAGCAAGTTAGACAGCAAGGAAGTACAGCATATCTCAGGTACAACTAAATGATCATAGACGGAAAGGTGTATGGTAAAGATCACTTTGAAATTACAGTTAAGAGCAAAGATAAGCGAACATCCAGTGAAAGGTCACCGTTAAGTGAGGAGGTGACACAGCAAAGCAAGATCGCAAAAAACTAATAATTGAGGTAGGACTGAATTCAATTAAGGACGACAAGGCTAAGAATAGAGATATGAACTGGCAAATGAATCGAAAAAAGCGGAACAAGAAAACAGCTTCGACGAAAATTGGCACTTGGAACATACAAACAATGCTAGGAGTAGGAAAAATGGAAGAAATAGCAAGGGAAATGAAAAATTTTAATATTGGAATATTAGCTTTACAAGAAATAAGATGGAGCGGCGAAGGGAAAGTCGACAAAGAGGACTTTACACTATTGTATGCCGGAGAAGATAAGCAGGGAAGAAATGGAATAGGATTTATGATAAGCAAAGAATATAGAGATATGACAATAGACTTTAAAAGGGTTAATGGTAGAATATCTATGATAAGAATCAAAAATAAGATTGCTAACATTACACTAGTAAATGTATATGCTCCTATGGAAGATGCAAGCGAGAACGATAAAGACGATTTCTATGACCACTTAGAGAGAGCATGTGAATCAATACCAAAACATGACACAATGATTATTATTGGGGACACCAACGCCAAAATAGGAAAAGAGAAATACCTGGAATGAGTAGCAGGGAAACAATCACTGCACAATATCTCGAATGAAAATGGGAAGAGGTTGTGCAACCTGGCCACAGCGATAGATATGTTTATTGTTAGCACAAAGTTTATGCACAAACCAGAACACAAAGTGACATGGATGCGACCAGGCAAAACTACAGGCGAGGGGTAAACCGCCGACCATCAAGTGTACAATTGATTTCCTTTTGACAATGATTTCCTGTTGATTTCCTCGGATTTCTTTTGATTTCCTCTGATTTCCTTTGATTTCCTGTGATTTCTTTTGATTTCCTGTGATTTCCTTTGATTTCCTGTGATTTTCTTTGATTTCCTGTGATTTCCTCTTGATTTCCTATGATTTACTGTGATTTCCTCTTAATTTCCTATGATTTCCTTTTGATTTCCTCAAAATTTGTTTACATAATGTACTACAGGGCGATTGTCAACTTTTTTTTAATTTGACTTTTTTGTTTTGCCGATAATGATGTTGAATTTAAACCTTTTTTTACCAATTGTTTACTAACGTACGGTGACTAGGTAAGCTGAAGTGCTTCCCCTTTAGACGAAAAAAATAAATAAATAAAATGTATTGTGCTGCTAAGCAACAAACTGAAATATTTAAGAAAAACAATCTGATTTTACTTACAAAAAGAACGCTACTCTGAAATCGAGGTTTTAGATGTCTAAATCACTAGAGTAAGTATACGTTCGAGTTTTACACTTTCTTGGGTCAAATGTTTGTTCTGAAAGTGGACATATGCAATATTCTAGATTTTTTGCACATTCAGTCAGAAAACCTTATGGTCTATTTTAATTTTGAAATTAAAAATGTCTGGTGTGTACAAATTAGTTCGTTTAAATCACTCAAAGATTTAATAAAGTATATTATATATTATTATTAATTTTTTAATAAATTATATTATAAAATTTTGCTTTTGACTTTACGAAATTAAAAATACATAATAAAGCCAAGGATATTTTTAGTTACGTCAGCAGTTTTTACTTATCAGTGACTCATAAGCCAACAACGACTGGCTCATACGTTCACAGGGGTAATTAATGAATATCAAATAGTCGAAAATCATTCTATTAGGTTTATCTCTGTGTTGTGCATACAAGATCATGTTAAAGTTTGACCTACTAAATCAAACTTATAATAATAACTTAAATCGTTACTTTTTAAAAATAGGGTTTATTCATTTATTATGGTAGCATAAACAGAAAAAACAAGTAGTTTCATTTATTTTATTAAGTGTTAAAAAAAACGGTAACTCTAAACATAAAAGTAAAGCATTTCTGTTGGATCCTAACAAAATATCACAAAATAAAACAACTTTTTAAAAAATACTTACCCCATAACCTGGGTCGAGATTTGTGTATATATTGTAGACGATGTTGAAGTAAAAAACTGTGCTAAATTCTAGCTACCCATAAATAGAGATGATAACATTTTTAATTTTTTCTTCACAACTTTCAAATGAAGCATATTAGAAAAAAACTTTTGAAATGCAAAATTTAACACGTAAGAATTTTTTTTTGCACAATAAAGGAGTGGATAACCCCACTTGATAAATTTTCAGAGGTAGTTTTCCCCTTTAAAAGTGTTCATGCGCACCTAGAATTTTGCACAGTTTCTTACTTTAGTATTCTCTACGACATATACTTGTACAAATCTCGACCCAGGTTGCGGTTACATTATCACAAATTTTAATCACATCACTTAAAAAAAACTAGGATTAAATCAAATATTTTTTCAAAAACTAAACAGCCTCTTCTGAGTACCTGAGGTGAAGGTAGTTTCATTGTATATTCATTTTGTTGGATCTCCCCGTGATCTTTAATGTCTGGAAACATAAGAGCATCCGGAATTTTTGGATTCCTTTTCAAAAAAATCACAAAATATAGGGTTAAGTGATAACACTTTACCAATGTAACATTTTTTGTTTTGTTTTTGAGTTGTTAATTGTTCTATAATATAATCGTCTATATTTAAGTCTGGTTTAGAACGATCAGTCTTACTATTTTCAGCCTTGAGATTCAAACGAGGATTCAAATCATCAGAATAATTGGAAGAATTCAAACTTTCGGTGTCCGTGCTATCATCATATTCGATACTACTTGGGTTGTCTACATCAGATGAGTCACTTGATATATTATGGTGTATTTTTTGTTTTCCAATTTGGACTGGTTTTTGAATTTGAGATGCATCTTTATGTTGAAGGCAGGTATCTGTATCTGAGTTAACTCTACTACTATTACATTTCTTATTTTGAATAAATCTTTTGAGACCATCCACACTGACGCGATCCTTTTCATTGTCTAACAGCCAGCAAAGTGAAGACTTTTTTATAACTTTTGTTCTATTATCTAAGCGTATTCCGACTAGATCACCTTTCTCAACAAAAATATCGTCACTATCAAAACTTCTAAGGTGTATGTCTCTGTCAAATTTCTTAGATTCGTACGAAATTGTGCAAAGATCATTCAGTAAATCTTCATCTTGGTCAACTGGATCGTTTTCCAAACTTTGAAAACAGTTACGTTTCATGGCTATTTGAGAATTGTTGTAATTTTCAATGTGATCGCACTGTTCTTCACTAAACATTTCATCTTCAACTTCGTCATTGCATTCATTGTCTTTACACGGAGGCAAAAATACATAGTTGAAATCTATCACTTTCATTCCTAAATCTTCAGTGTCACGCAGATAATCCCGTAAAGCTGATTCTACGGTGCTTTGTATATCTTTATCTGAAATGTTTCCTAAGTCATCATTTTTCACAAAATCTCTCTTCATGATTGAATTTTTTTTTCCTGATTTCTCTAGGAAAAACGGATTTTTTATCCAAATCGTTTTTAATGTTGTTTATAGTTTGCAGTCTGTCACTTCGATGCAACATATATCTCTTATACTAAAATTAACAATTGTGCTAAAAGTTGAGGTCATTGATCAAAGGCTTCTAAACATACTCTCACAAGTTTGAGAGCTAAACTTCCAAGGCAAGAACATATCATCAGTAAGATTTTTGCACGACCTGAACTTAATGAATTTGGTACCTCACATCACAAACTCAATTTTTAAAAACTAATTTGGGGTGAAATTATAAATTTGGATTGTAGGTATAAAGCAATATAATGTATCATTTCTCATCGGAACTGCACTTCATTAACTACAACTTTAATATTTGTCAAGCTGAAATATCATGCTGTCAGTTAATGATATTATACTGGAATTTTCTATCATTATGCCCTTAAAAGGTTATTTAATCTATACTTTTAAGATTAAATTGATATTTTCTTTCTTATGATGAATGCTATGACTTATGTCGTACATGTTACGTTTATTAGTTCTAGAAAATATCTAGTTTAACTGGATTTGCTATGATGATTTTGGATTTCCTTTGTTTTCTTGTTGATTTCCTTTGATTTTCTTTGATTTCCTGTGATTTCGTGTGATTTCCTTTGATTTCCTCTGATTCCCTTTTTGATTTCCTGTGATTTCCTTTGATTTCCTCTGCGGTTTACCCCTCGACTACAGGTAACCAGATCGACCATGCTTTGATATCATAAAAGAGGGAAAAGATGGTCCAAGATGTAAGATCTTACAGAGGAGCAAATGTAGATCATCATCTGGTAATAGTGAAAATGAAGATGAGAACGATAGTCAATAAGAAAATAAAAACAGAAAATAAGAAAAGATGGAAGTAGAAGAAACTGTTATTGACAATACTTGGGGCCATTTAAAAAATTGTATGATAAAAGCGGCAGAAACAGTAGCAGTCAGAAAACAAAAGAGGACGTTTAAGAAATGGTTTGATGACGACTGCGAGTGGATTGTAAACAAAAAAAGGAATGCAAGAATAAGATGGCTAAAATCAGGTAAACAAAGTGAATACCAGAATTACAAGACGATAAGAAAAGAATGCACAAAACTACTATTAAGCAAAGGAACGAAATGGATTGAATAAACAATGGATGAATTAGAAAAAGACAATAAGAACAACGTGAAGCTATATCAGTACATCAGAAAACAGAATAGGAAACAAACAATCGTGAACATTGTTAGTAAAGATTGAGAAAAAGATTTTCAGAAGCTACTGAGAAGAGATTACGATGCAGATATAATGGACCAAAATCGGATAGAATACGGAGACACCAGTGATGAGCAATACCTACCAACAAAAGAAGAATACTTCAATGTATTGAAAAGCTTAAAGATGAACAAAGAATAGGGATAGATGGGATAGTGAATGAGATGTTTAAATATGGAGGTCAAATACTAGAAAAGAAGATGTACGAGTTAATTACGAGCATGTGGATTACGGAAAAGATGCCAATGAAATGGGACACAGGAATAATAATTCCAATTTTGAAAAAAGGAAACCCACATTTATGCACAAATTACAGAGGAATTAGTCTGTTTAATGCTGCATATAAACTATTAACCAGTTTAATAAATAAGAGGCTACAAGAAATTACAGAAACAGAAGTAGGGGAATATCAATATGGTTTCAGAAGTGGAAGATCAACAATCGATGCAATCCATAGTATGAACCAAATAATTGAAAAATGCTGTGAGCACAATATCGACATACATATACTCTTCGTCGACTTTAGACAAGCGTTTGATAGTATAAACCGAGACGCGATGGTCCAAGATATGGAAAAGATGGAGATACCTAGAAAACTAATAAACTTATTAGTCAGAATGTGCATAAAGAACTCAAAAGCAGTAGTAGCAGCAAAGAATGGAAATTCTAAAGAATTTGCATTCAACTCCGGGATTAGGCAAGGTGATGGTATGTCAGCTACTTTATTTAATATTGTGATGGACAGAATAGTTAAGCACAGTCATGCGGAAAAAACAATTATAAATAAGTCAGTGCAAATCATAGCATATGCTGATGACTTAGCTTTAATTGCGAGAGACAAGGAAAGTCTTAGTAAATTACTAACAGTAATTACGAATGAAGCAAGCAAAAGAGGATTGGACATTAACGTGGAGAAGACAAAATATCTATCAGCAAGTAAGAGACAAGGACGAAGAGACAAAAAAGAAATTGAAATAGGAAATTTATAGTTTGAAATTGTTGAAAACTTTAGGTACCTGGGAAGCATTATTGATAATAAGGGCAAACGGCAAGTGGAAATAACGCAAATAATACAAACTGGTCACAAAGCGTATTTCAAATATAGCAACATCATGAAGAGTAGCAGAATATCCAAAGATACAAAGTTGCGAGTATACAAGACAGCAATAAGATCTGTAGTGACATACGCAGCAGAAACAATGAGTCTAACTAGCGAAGCAGAAGAAAAAATGAGAAGATTTGAAAGAACAATAGTTAGAAGAATAATGGGGATGAAGAAATAGAAGACCAAGAATACAGAACATTAATGAACCACGAAATAGAAGATATCATCAAAGGAGAAGACATAGTAAGAGCGATAAAGGCACGTAGAATACGCTGGTATGGTCATCTAAAAAGAATGGAGAAAAAGAAACACGAGAGGAAAATTACCGAATGGAAACCTGACAATAACAGATCAAGAGGAAGACCAAAAATCAGAAGGGAGGATCAAGTAAGAAAGGATTTGTCAAAGCTAGATATTCAAGACTGGTCGAAGAAAATCCAGGACCGGACACAATGGAAAGAAATAGTAGAGCAAGCGAAAACGTGCAGGCAATTGTAAATTCAGAAGAGGAAATGATGGACTGACTCCCCACGACTAACCGAGTCCAAAGAGCTCAAATTTTTGCAAAAACATCTAACATTTTGGCATTTTGGATTCGAAGTTCATTTGTCAGTACCAAAATAAGGACTGACGAAATTGAAAATGAAAGGAGTAAATGACAAAATGAATAATTGCTAGAAGGATGCCACCGGAGGAGTTAAACAAGAGAGAATTAAAATAATTTTAAGTCGAATGCCGGTTGGATTAGGATGTCTTAAATACTGGCTTTTCCAGGTATAGATTGAACCGAAATAGCTTGATATTTGCTGATGTTTTGATTGTAATCTGTCAATTTTGGACTTTGAAATGGGAACTGTTAGAGAGTTTAGCAAAAATTTAAACTGATATTTGGAAAGTGATTGAGAAAAATTGACAAATATTTTCATTGGTTATTTTTATTTAAAAGTGGATTTTTGTGTTTTGTGGACAAATCATAATGATTTTCACAGTTACAAGTTATTACAAGTAAATTCGAAATCGATCTTTAGCCGAAAATATCAAAAACAGGCACTTTTTCCAAAATCTTTTCAAAAATATAAGCAAATACTTTTCCAAACGCTTCTTCATAACCAGTTCTAAGATCATCATATAGTTCGAGGACATTGTCTCTCAATAACGTCTTCATACGGTCAGCCAATTCTTCATCACCATCAAACAAATTTTGAAAATCAAAATCAATATCCCTGGGTTGCATATTAAGTTGTTGAGAAACGATATTAAAATATGTTTTACCCTTATTCTTATATTCTCCAAATTTAAAAGTAAGTCCAAGGTGATCATCGCTTATAATTAGTTTCAATTCGTCCCCAGTTATCAAAAATATCAAACTTACGGAAAATAATCCATCCCGTCCCATTTCCATAAACAGACGCCAGCATAACTTGTCCATGTACTTCATAATTGAAATCCATTCGGAAATTTGGCACCACGCACTCCAGGCTTAGAGTTTTCTCTTTATAACTAAATCTGTGAAAATCTGTTGAAGTAATAATGTGATTGACAAAAACGGCTAAAACTCACTCGGCTTTGGAACAAGAAGTTTCATTAAAACCAGACAGTTTTAGATTTTCGAAAATTTGCTTAGAAGTCACATACTGAGAGCCGGCGTCTATAATCAGTGACGGTATCACCACAGGTTCTAGACGTATTAAGCCCAATTCTTTTATGGGATGATCCATCTGTTTTATGGCACTTTCAATAGCTTTCGGCAAACACAAACGCGAGGAGATTTGTTTTAAGTTACATTTTTTAAAACTAGTGGCTAGAATTATCAAGATGAATAATATTAATAGTACGAGTAATAATAAGCGACTTACGTAATTTGGCTCCGAAACTAGTAGGCACCAAACAGAAGCAGAGTGTTGTTAGTAAGTGCTTCATTATCTTGTCGTCGAAGCATTCTTAAAACATTTATATAATGCTAGATATACCTAATCTTAATGCATAGATAAACCTGTTATTGTTATTTATACTATTAGTAATTATTCTGCATAAAATTAATATACGTTCAAGAAACTAAAAAACGTTTTCGGACAATTTTGGGTGAAATTTTGTTACAAATTTTCTCGTTTTAGAATGACTACAGACTCTGGAATCATTGGAAGATGGCATTAGTGCTGCAACCTTCAATTCACTGCTGCATATGCAAGTAGTGTGGCCCAAATTGTTATCTAATCGGAAATTTAAGCTGCAATTTTGAAGGTCAGTGACAAAGAACCGACTAAAGATTTTCTTTATTTGTTTATATTTTGTGTGATGCAATCTTGTTCTAGCCAATTTAAATGCGAATCTTTTTTTGTTTTCTGTCTGCAGCCCAGAAATTTAAAATAACCATTATCTTTTGATTTTGTTTTATACTGCTCACATTCACTTTTTGTTCGAATTGAAAATGTTTTTAATATAAGATAGAAGTTTCCTATTTTTAGCAAAGAACGACCGATAATTTTGTCTATCTAAAGAGTTTTTAATTGATTGTACCCAAAATAGAAAAAATACTGTCATCATATTTTTACTTTTTATTTTGATTTTTCTATCATTAAACATTTAAGACAAAAACAATTTTGTCGTTTTATCCTGTTACGAATAAAAGGAAAATACCTACTTTCTATCATCGGTCTTTAGCTGAACATATCATAAACAAGCACTTTTTCCAAAATTTTTGAAAAATATAAGCAAATATCTTTCGAAAAGCTGCTTCATAACCAGGTTTGATATCATCATATTATTCCATGAAGGATACTAAAATATTTTTGACAGTTCTTTTCATATTCTTCAAGTTTAAAAGTAAGTCCAAGTTCATTATGGCCTAGAACTAATAATTATTAGTTCTAGTAGTTGCCAAGATAAGACTGATTTTGGCAGATGAGATACCCTCCAAGAAAAGAGAGGGCGGGTGGGCGGGTTTAGTACCTGTTTAGATAAAAGTGATTTTGGCAAATGACATACCTTCTAAGAAATGAGAGGGTGGGGGCTAGGGCTTGCTAAGATAAGGCTAATGTTGGCAAATGACCTATTCTCTAAGAAAATGAAGGGTAAAGGGTATATCATTTGGCAAAATCAGTCTTATCTTGCAAAGTATTGGATCGAGTTAAGATTTTAATCGTTAACTGGTACTAGAAGTAATGTTACCACGAAAGGGTACAGGGGCGCGGCTTAAGTTGCGCGACTTGTAGTCGGGCTAGCATTGGCGTAACTCGATGCATTGAGGAAGGAGGTTCGGCTGAATTATACTTCTTTCAAAAACAATTAAAAAAAAGAGCAATTTCTACAAAAGAGTACAGACAACCATTTAATAAAAATAAATTAATTTGTTTGATAAAAAAATAGACTTACGTAACAATAAATTATAATAATCCATCACACAAAATTTGGTATTTTTAATTATTAAACGAGTTTATAATGTGAGAGATAATAGCATGAGTAAAAAAATTCACGAACCCCTCATTATAAACCAGTATCATACACAATTTTATAGTCTTAAATCAATAGTTAAATCTTTGGATAAAAGCTGGGATAAAACTCTTTAGAATTTAGAATTAGCAACCTATGAATAAAGCAATTCCACTTTAATTATAATTAAAGTGGAATTGCTTTAAATAAGAAGAACATCCAACTTACGGAAAATAATCCACCCCGTCACATACTAGGTTTAATATTTTTTCGTTATAATTAATTTTTCTTGTAGCTTCATTGTTTTCATTTCAGTTATTAATTGTTGTTCCATTTCTTGCTCAGGTAGCAGATTTGTCACTTTTTGTCTCATTTGCAATGACGTTTTCTTGAATTAGCAAGTTTTTATAGTATTTTGCCCATTCCCGTTCATCTATTTTTGCCATTGTCTTTGTTCTTTGTTGCTTTTCCATAGTTCTACATTGTTCTTACTATCTTCTTCCGGCCCCTTCATTATTTTGTCAATTCACTTCATCTCCTGGTGTTTCATTAATTTTGTGTTATTCTTCCTAGTAGTCTAATCTTTTGCAATCTTCAACCTTTTTTTATTTTCCTCCTTTGCTCACTACTTTTCCCCTGTTATGTTTTCTATTGCTCTCCTTATATTACTATATTCTTCATCATTCGAATTTCTTTCTGTCTAGCTGCTCACATCTTTTTCTTCTGTTTTCTCTCATTCTTCCCAGATTCAGCTCTATTTGGCAAAATGACTTGACTTTTTGTCTCTTTTCATTTATCAGTACATGGTTTATCTGGTTTCCATTATTCCTTCCCATGATTTTATGATGGAATTTTGTACTAGCAATTTTCATTTTTAAGGCTTGGATTGTACGCAAAATGTATATTCCTTAAAAGGTGCGGCATATTTAGAAAAAAATTGATCGATAGTTATTTCGAGAGGACTTTCCCGGCCTCTGAAGTGCCAATGAAGAAATCCCGCTTCTTTGAAAAAAAATGATTTTGCGTATTTTGTATTCGTGATATTCCCCCCATATAATAAAACAACAAATACTAAACGTGCTTACAGGTCTTTATTTTGGCAAAATATTCATGACTTTATCAAAATTTACTTTCCTCTCTTTTGAATTGATAAAATGGAAAGATTGTTTAGACGCGCTAGCTCACTGTGGACCTTGTACGACTTTATCAATTCTAATTTTGAAATCCATTCTATGATTTTTCTTAATCGTCGACAGCCAAAGGAGCGGAATTTAATTGTAAAATCCATATTTTTCTACAAGAATTGCTTGCCAAATAAAAAAAGATAAGCCCCACCCCGACCTCAGTTCTTATTCGTGATGAATTTTTCATTCGTTGCCAGACTGAGGGGCGGAGCGTAATTACAAAATCCATAGTTCCTGTTTTAAACACGTTTTAAGATTTCTGTTGCGAAAAGAATATTACGAACAAGAAAAAAAGGCAAAATATTTTGGATTAAATGTAGACTTCTTTTCGCGAATTTCTAATTTATTATTAATAAATATTAGTGAAAATGTGTTGTGTTAGTACTGTAAACACGAACGAAAGTGGATATTTTTCCGAAAAGGACCGAAAACCAGGAAGTACGACTTCAATTTTAATTTATCGGGTTCCATGATTCGTTTACTCGACAATGTTTAAATTTTGGAAAAAATTTCGAAACGGTTGAAGTTGATAAGTCAAAGCTATACATTTTCAGGATATAACTAAATAAAATTTGGACATAATTTTAATTATTTATAATGCTCAAATATGATAAGTAACTATTAATATATGATAATCAAACCGAAAATCGTTTTACTAAAAACACGATGGTATTAAAACAAAGCAATTTGTTTAAATATTGTTAAGTTAATCCTGAAAATGTCTAATTTCCCGGCCAAAATATGAAAAATAATTTTTGCAATCTCATCGTGACGTGCAATGACGTCACTGTCACGTAAGCTACCTGTCAAAAGGTCACGTTTTTCGGTCCTTTGTGTTCAGTTTTAATTTCTGTTTGATGGCGACAAGATCATCGCGTCCTTTTGGCGTAAAAGTAGAGCAATTTCGCGAATTTCTAATTTATTATTAATAAATATTAAGGAAAATGTGTTGTGTTGGTGCTGTGAACACGAAAGAAAATGGATATTTTTCCGAAAAGGACCGAAACCACGGTAAGTACGACTTCAGTTTTAATTTATCAGGTTCCGTGATTCGTTTACTCGACAAAGTTTAAATTTTGGGGAAATTTTCGAAACGACTGAAGTTGGTCTATCAAAGCTATATATTTTCACGATATAATTAATTAATATTTAAACATAATTAACATTATTTATAATGTTTAAATACGATAAGTATTAATATATGATGATCAAAACGCAAAGTTACTAAAAACAAAGCAATTTGTTTAAATATTATTCAATTGACTCCGAAAATGTGCAATATCCCGGCCAAAATATGAAAAACAATTTTTGCGATCTCATCGTGACGTTCGATGGCGTCACTGTCACATGAGCTAGCTGTTCAAAGGTCGCATTTTTCGGCCCCTTGTGTTCAGTTTAGATTTCGGTCTTATGGCAGTAAGATTGGAGCTCCGGTTTGGCTTAAAAGTAGGGCTCTTTCCGCGAATTTCTAAATTATTATTAATAAATTTTAGTGAAAATGTGTTGTGTTGGTGCTGTGAACACGAAATAAATTGGATATTTTTCCAAAAAGTACCCAAAACGGGGTAAGTACTACTTCAATTTTAATTTATCGGGTTCCATGATTCGTTTACTCGACAATGTTTAAATTTTGGAAAAAATTTCGAAACGGTTGAAGTTGATCGGTCAAAGCTATAAATTTTCACGATATAATTAAATAAACTTTAGACATAATTAATATTATTTATAATGTTCAAATATGGTAGCTATTAATATATGACAAACCGAAAACGGTTTTACTAAAAACACGATGGTATTAAAAACAAAGCAATTTGTTTAAATATTGTTAAGTTAATCCTGAAAATGTCTAATTTCCCGGCCAAAATATGAAAAATAATTTTTGAAATCTTATCGTGACTTGCGATGATGACGCCACTGTTACGTGAGCTACCTGTCCAAAGGTCACGTTTTTCGGTCCTTTGTGTTCAGTTTTAATTTCTGTTTGATGGCGACAAGATCGTCGCGTCGTTTCGGCGTAAAAATAGAGCGATTTCGCGAATTTCTAATTTATTATTAATACATATTACGGACAATGTGTTGTGTTGGTGCTGTGAACACGAAAGAAAATGATATTTTGCCAAAAAGGACCGAAAACAGGGTAAGTACGACTTCAGTTTTAATTTATCAGGTTCCGTGATTCGTTTACTCGACAAAGTTTAAATTTTGGGAAAATTTTCGAAACGATTGAAGTTGGTCGATCAAAGCTATACATTTTCACGATATAATTAAATAATATTCAAACATAATTAATATTATTTATAATGTTTAAATACGATAAGTATTAATATATGATAATTAAATCGAACACCGTTTTCTTCAAAACGCAAAGTTACTAAAAACAAAGCAATTTGTTTAAATATTATTCAATTAGCCCCGAAAATGTGCGATTTCCCGGCCAAAATATGAAAAATAAATTTTGCAATCTCATCGTGACGTACGATGGCGTCACTGTCACGTGAGCTACCTGTTCAAAGGTTGCATTTTTCCGCCCCTTGTGTTCAGTTTAGATTTCGGTCTGATGGCAGCAACATTGGAGCTCCGGTTTGGCTTAAAAGTAGGGCTCTTTTCGGATTTCTAAATTATTATTAATAAATATTAGTGAAAATGTATTGTGTTGGTGCTGTGAACACGAAAGAAAATGGGTATTTTTCAGAACAGGCCTAAAACGTGGTACGTACGACTTCAGTTTTCATTTATCGGGTTCCATGATTCGTTTACTCGACAATATTTAAATTATTAATAATTAAATTAAATTTTTCAGCGAAATTTTGGGGTGGCGTCATCAATTTTTTAAGGGGGATGAGCAAATACATTTTGATCAAAAATTTACTAGCCTATGACACATTAAAAACATCTCCAACATTTCAGAACATTCGGTTATGTGCTTCCTGATTAAATCAATAAAATAAATTCACGCATTCAATTTTTTTTGAGTCACCCTGTATATGCAAATCCAAAAAATATGAATGGAACGGTAAATCACAAGTACAGATTCATCATATTTTGTACATTTTAGATGGAATTTATTAGCTAAAGTTTTGAGCTGACGTCATCAATTTTTTGGAAGGTATAAGTAAATATACTTTGATTAAAAATTTATCATGCTTAATTAATATTTTTTTCAGCAACATAAACTTATAATAGCTTTCGACTGATATTTGGAAAGTGCCTCAGGAAAACAGAAAACAGCTTTTTATTGTTTAGTTTTATATTTTATCACTAACTTAGACGTGAATTCTTTATTTTTATATATAAATCAAAAATTTATTATTACATTTATGTTATTACAATAAAATCCGAAATCGATCTTTAACCGAAGATATCAAACACAGGGACTTTCTCCAAAATCGTCTCAAAAATATAAGCAAATATCTTTCCAAAAGCTTCTTCATAACCAGGTTTGACGTCATCAAATATTTCCAAAACGTTTTCTTTTATTAACCTTTTGACTTGAGCTGCCGATTTTTCATCACCATCAAACAAGTTTTGAAGATCAAAATCGATATCCTTGGCTTGCATCTTAAGCTGCTGGTGAACGATATTAAAATATGTTTGACCGTCCTTTTCGTATTCTCCAAATTTGAAAGTAAGTCCAAACTGATTATCGTCTAGAATTATCTCCACTTAATTGCTACAGTTGCGAAAAATATCCAACTTACGGAAATTGAGCCATCCCGTCCCGTTCCCATAAATAGACATCGTCATAACTTGCCCACGTAGCTCATAATTGAAGTCCATTCGGAAATTTGGCACGACGCAGTCCAGGTTTAATGTTTTTTCATTATAATTAAAGCTGTCAATAATTATATATTAATGATTGTTTAATTATCAAGGGTGGAACCACTCACTCGGCTTTGGAGCAAGAAGTTTCGTTGAAACCCGACAGTTTCAGGTTTTTAAAAATTTGTTTGGTACCCACGTATTGAGAACCGGCGTCTATAATCAAAGATGGAATTAGTAAAGGCTCTAGCCTCACTAAACCCAGGTTTTTTATAGGATGATCCATCTGCTTTATTGCACTTTCGATAGCTGTCGGCAAACACAGACGGGAGGAGGTTTGTTTCAAGTTGCATTTTTTAAAAGTCGAAGCTAGAATTTTTATGTATCAGAATAATTGTTGGTCATAATAATAAACTTACGTAATTTGCTCCCAAAGCTGGCAGCTAGCAAGCAGGCACAAAGTGTTGTTAGTAAGAGCTTCATTTTCTTGTCTTTGAAGAATGGTTTGAAATACCTTGTTTGCCATATTTATACACTTCGTAAGATCAAAATGCGTCGATAAACAAGTGATTTGTATGTATAGTTAATAATTATTCTGAATAGTATTATCACTTACTTATGTTTAGTTGTTTACCTTTACGTAAGAGAATTTTTTTAGATTTGTGTATATTCGGTTCAGTTCTGGAAATAAAAAGACTTAATTACGTTTCAAAAACATGTGCAATCTCTTTTATTTAGTATCTGGTATTTGATGTCGGACGGTTCTGGATCTGGTCATGTTTACTTACCAATTCATTATTTCGCTGCCTTGTGGTATTCATTAAGTTTTTTTTGTTTTCTTTTTTCTTATCACGTTATTCTTTTAATTATCATACAAATACAAACATGAAAGTGATTACGAAAAACTGGAAACAGACTTTTATTGTTCAATTTTATATTATACCACTAATTTAAAAATGTAGTTGTTACTTTTCGTAATTGTAATCGATCTTTAGCCGAAGATATCAAAAACAGGTACCTTTTCCAAAATCTTTTCAAATATGTAAGCAAATACTTTTCCGAAAGCTTCCTCATAACCATCTTTAACATCAGTATATAATTCCAGGACATTTTCTTTCATTATCTTTCGCATACGCCGAGCCGATTCCTCATCACCATCAAACATATTTTGAAGCTCAAAATCAATATCCCTGGGTTGCATTTTAAGTTCTTGAGAAAGAATATTAAAATATGCTTTACCGTTCTTTTCATATTCCCCAAGTTCAAAAGTAAGTCCAAGTTGATTGTCGCCTAGATTTACTCAAAGTTAAACCGCTTTAAATAAGAAAAATATCCAACTTACGGAAAATAATCCATCCCGTCCCGTTTCCAAAAACAGATACCATCATGATTTGCCCACGTAGCTCATAATTGAAATCCATTCGGAAATTTGGCACGACGCACTCCAGATTTAATATTTTTTCGTCATAGTTAAACCTGTCAAGATATATGTTAATAACTGCGATTACCAAAACTGGAACTACTCACTCGGCTTTGGGACAAAACGTTTCATTAAAACTCGACAGTTTCAGATTTTTAAAAATTTGTTTGGTAGCCACGAATTGAGAACCTGCTTCTATAATCATGGATGGGATTACCAAGGGTTCTAGGCTCAATAAGCCCAGTTTTTTTACAGGATGATCCATCTGCCTTATTGCACTTTCGATAGCTTTCGGCAAACACATATGTGAAGAGATTTGCTTTACATTACATTTTTTAAAACCAGAAGCTATAATTTTAAAATTTTGTCAGAGTTGTGTTGTTGATCGTAAAAAAACTTACGTAATTTGGCCCCAAAGGTGGTAGCTATCAAACAGGCACAAAGTATGGTTAGTAGGTGATTCATTTTCTTATCTTTGAAGAATGGTTTGAAAAATCTTGTCTGCGTTATTTATACTCTTCACAAGATCAAAATGCACCGAGAAACAAGTTATTTTTATGTTTATGATAATTATTCTGAATAGTATTATCAGTTACATTTAGTTGTTTACCTTTACGTAACATGGTTTTGATTGCATTTTTGTCTACTCCGCTTTAGGTCTTAGAATAAAACAACTTACTGGTGTTTTAGAAATTTATGAAAACTTTTTTATTTTTATAGAAATAAGTACATCAGATGCTAAGAGCATTAGTGCGGTTCATTTAAAAAAATCATCAAGTTAACTTTGATATTTTGGTAGAAGTAATCGTCGCGAAAAACGCATGTCTATGATTAATTCCATAGTTGACATTTGACAGTGGTTTGATATTTTTGACAAGCAGTTGTTTACGTTAATACGCTTTATCCGATTTTCCGTTCTTGTCCCGTTGAACAGTTTACTTTTACGTGTTTTCTGTTTCCCGAATTTAAAAAATTAGTCGAAAGTTATTTCGACAGAACTTCCCTCGCTTCTGCACTACTGCTTCTCTGAAAAATTATAAAATTTGAATTTTCGAAATTTTACTTTTTCGTGATAACCACTATGGAGTAAAAACAATATAGAAGGTACTAGTCACAGTGTAGTAGAAAAAAAAGAAGGTTTTACCTTCTTAAAAAAAAAAGCAGTTGGTAACCTGAGAAGATTTAACACTCTTAAAAAAAGACACTTGGGGCCTCCGAGGTTTCACCTTCCCTGAGAAGATTTCACATTCTTAAAAAGGACACTTGGGACCCCCTGAAGGTTTTAAATTCTAAAAAAAAGTCAGTAGGGACCCCTAAGAAGGTTTCACATTCTTAAAAAAAGACATTTGGCGCCCCCCGAGAAAGTTTTACGTTTTTAAAAAAGACAACTGGGACCCCCGAGAAGGTTTCAAATTCTTAAAAAGAAAAAAAACACTTAGGACCTCCGAGAAGGCTTCACATTAAAAAAAAGACTTTTGGCGTCCCCGAGAAGGTTCTATATTTTTAAAAAGACATTTGGGACCCCCGATAAGGTTTTTACATTCTTAAAAAGGCAGTTGGAACCCTCGAGACGGTTTCACATGAAAAAAAACATTTGGCACCCCCATAAGGTCTTAAAATTTTAAAAAGGACAGTTGGGATCTCCGAGGAGGTTTCACATTCTTAAAAAAGACATTTGGAACCCCCAGTAGATTTCAAATTCTAAAAAAGAGTCAGATGGAATCCCTGAGAAGGTTTCATATTTTTAAAAAATGATATTTGGCGCCCCCGAGAAGGTTTTATGTTTTTAAAAAAGACAAATGGGACCAATGAGATTTCACATTTTTAGAAAATACATTTGGGGCCCCAGAGAGGTTTAAAATTTTTAACAAATCATTTGGGACCCCCGAGAGAGTTTCACATTAAAAAAAGACATTTGCTTCCTCCCCCCGAGAAGGTTTTATATTTTAAAAAAAGACATTTGGGACCCCCGAGAAGGTGTCACAATAAAAATAAAGACTTTTGACGCCCCCGAGGTTTTACATTTAAAAAAAATACAGTTGGAACTCTCGAGAAGGTTTCACATTCTAAGAAAATATATTTGGAGCCCCCGAGAAGTTTTTATATTAAAAAAAAATATTTGGGACCCCAAGAAGGTATTGCATAAAAAAAAGACATTTGGCGCCCCCTAGAATGTTTCACATTTAAAAAAAGAGACATTTGAGGCCCCCGAGAGGGTTTCACATTTAAAAAAAAAAGATAATTGGGACCCCCGCGAAGGTATCACGTTAAAAAAAAGACCTTTGGTACCCCCGAGAAGGTTTTAAATTTTTAAAAAGGCAGTTGGAACCCTCGAGACGGTTTCACATTAAAAAAAAATACATTTGGCGCCCCCAAGAAGGTTTTAGAATTTTAGAAAAGACAGTTGGGATCTCCAACAAGGTTTCACATTCTTTAAAAAGACATTTAGGACCCCCAGAAGGATTCAGGTTCTAAAAAAGGGTCAGTTGGAACCAGTGAGAAGGTTTCATATTCTTACAAAACGATATTTGGCGCCCCAGAGGAGGTTTTACGTTTTTAAAAAAGACAAATGGGACCCCCAAGGTTTCACATTCTTAGAAAATACATTTGGGGCCCCAGAAAGGTTTTAAATTTTTAACAAATAATTTGGGACCTCCGTGAGAGTTTCGCATTAAAAAAAAAGACCTTCCCTCCCCCGGTAAGGTTTTACATTAAAAAAAAGACATTTGGGACACCCGAGAAAGTTTCACATAAAAAAAAAGATTTTTGGCGCCCCCGAGGTTTTACATTTAAAAAAAATTACAGTTGGAACCCCCGAGAAGGTTTCACATTCTTAGAAAATATATTTGGGGCACCCGAGAACGTTTTACATAAAAAAAAACATTTGGGACCCCGAGAAGGTTTCGCATTAAAAAAAATACATTTGGCGCCTCATAGAAGGTTTCACATTTTTAAAGAAGATAACTGGGATCCCCGAGAAGGTTTCACATTAAAAAAAGACCTTTGGTGCCCCCGAGAAGGTTTCACAATTTAAAAAAAGACAGTTGGGATCTCTGAGAAGGTTTCACATTCTTAAAAAGGACATTTGGGACACCCAGAAGATTTCAAATTCTAAAAAAAAGTCAGTAGGTTACCTTAGGAAGATTTTACATTGTTAAAAAAGACATTTGGCGCCCCCAAGAAGGTTTTACGTTTTTAAAAAAGACAACTGGAACCCCCGAGGTGTCACATTTGGGGCCCCCGAGAAAGTTTCAAATTCTTAAAAAAACATTTAGAACCCCCGAGAAGGTTTTACATAAAAAAAAACTTTTGGGGCCCCCGAAAAGGTTTTATATTTTTAAAAAAGGCATTTGGGACCCCCGAGAACGTAGGTTTCACATTAAAAAAACGAATTTTGGCGCCCCCGAGGTTTTACATTAAAAGAAAGTACACTTAAAACCCCCGAGAATGTTTCACATTTTTAGAAAATATATTTGGGGCCCCCGAGAAGGTTTCACATAAAAAAAAGACATTTGGCGTCCCCGAGAAGGTTTTACATTTTTAAAAAGGCAGTTGGATCCCTCGAGATGTTTTCACATAAAAAAAATACATTTGGCGCCCCCCAGAAGGTTTTAGAATGTTAGAAAAGACAGTTGGGATCACCGGGAAGGTTTCACATTCTTAAAAAAAAACGTTTGGGACCCCCAGAATGTTTCAAATTCTAAAAAAGAGTCAGTTGGAACTACTGAGAAGGTTTCATATCCTTAAAAAATTATATTTGCCGCCCCCGAGAAGTTTTTACGTTTTTAAAAAAGACAAATGGGAGCCCCGAGGTTTCGCATTCTTAGAAAATACATTTGGGGCCCCAGAGAGGTTTTAAATTTTTAACAAATCGTTTGGGACCCCCGAAAAAGTTTCACATTAAAAAAAGAGGGCTTTGCCCCCCCTCCGAGAAGATTTTACATTAAAAACATCATCTGAGACCCCCGAGAAGGTTTCACATTAAAAAAAAAGACTTTTGACGCCCCCGAGGTTTTTCATTAAAAAAAAAATACAGTTCGAACCCCCAAGAAGGTTTCACAATTTTAGAAAATATATTTGGGGCCCCCGAGAAAGTTTTACATAAAAAAGAAGATATTTGACGAAGGTTTCACATTTTTAAAGAAGATAATTGGGACCCCTGAGAAGGTTTCACATTAAAAAAAAGACCTTTGGTGCCCCAAAGAAGGTTTTACATTTTTAAAAAGGCAGTTGGAACCCCCGAGACGGTTTCACATTAAAAAAATGATATTTGGCGCCCCCGAGAAGGTTTTGGGTTTTAAAAAAAAACGAATGGGACCCCCGAGGTTTCAAATTCTCAGAAAATACATTTGGGGCCCCCGAGAAGGTTTCACATAAAAAAAAAACACAGTTGGAAACCCCGAGAAGGTTTCACATTCTTAGAAAATATATTTGGGGATCTCGAGAAGGTTTTACATAAAAAAAAGACGTTTTGTGAAGGTTTCACATTTTTAAAGAAGATAATTGGGACCCCCGAGAAGGTTTCACATTAAAAAAAAGACCTTTGGTGACCCGGAGAAGGTTTTACACTTTTAATATGCGAGTGAAGGTGTCGTCCACTATAGACGCACGCTTCAGCTAAGAGCTCTAAATTGTTACTAATAGTGGTGATCATTTTTTTTAGTTAATTATGTCTGTTCCATGTGCCAAGTGCGATATCTTGTGTAATGATGGCGGAGGTGTAACTTGCGATATTTGTGGTCAAGTATATCACACAAACTGTGCAGATATTTCTCGAGCGGAGGCTGAATGTTTAAAATCAGGACGCCGTAGATTGCGTTATTTTTGCAATAACTGCAATATTGTCCAGAAAATTAATGATTTTCAAGTCACAATTCATCAACTGCAGAAACAATTACAATCATACGCCGAGTTAAAAACTGAGGTAGTTCAATTAAAGAAAGAGATTATTGAGTTGAAAAAAGGTAAAAACATCGAGGGCAAAGAAACGCCTGTGGGTACCAATGAACTTAATAATCAACTAAATCAAGAAGATGTGATATCAGAAATATATGACCGACAAAGACGTGCCAACAATGTGATAATATATAATTTACCAGAATCCGCAAATGCGAATGAGATTGATAACAGGAATGAGGATAGTAAAAAATTCATTGATATTATTGGAAAAGATGTGGTAAATGTAACGTTAATTGTTAAGAGTATGCGTTTAGGAAAAAGAGTTGACAATAAAATTAGACCTCTTTTGATTACATTAAATTCCTTGGAAGATGTTTCAAATGTACTGAGAAATTATCGAACCAAGAATAATATATACGTGAATAGAGACCTTACTGTTCGTCAAAGAAACTTAGCTTATACGGTGAGATCTGAATTTAAACGAAGAAAGGATGGAGGTGAAAATGATATCAAGTTAAAGTATACGAATGGAATGCCAAAAATTGTAAAAAACTAGATTCAGCTCAACGAATAAGTAATAGCAAATTTGAAATAAGAGCTGTGTATCAA